GAAGACAAAAGCGTACGATCCTGGTCTCTGGCCTTCAAGGGCATACATGACCCGGGACCCAAAGATGAGTGCAGAACGGACGCAGATGAAGAGTGACAGAGGACCTTTAAGAAGAACCAGCAGGCGTGTGGACGTATACATCCGACATCAAAGCACGACCCAATTCGCAGAGAAACAGAGAAAAAGCAGCTGCGAACACATACGTTCATCGGAGATGAATTCGCCGAGAGCTGCGGGCACCTAGCAGGAATACCCAGTGCGAGAACGAGCGACATTACTTTGGAGGCGTGGTGACGAGGGAAGAGTGGTGGCTCGAGAATGGAAGGATCAATCGCTGGGGATGGATGATTCAGGAGGGAGAAAGACAAAGAGGAACAGATCACTCACGAAGGACGCGTACGAGGGCGGAGGCGAGTACATACGAACAACAACGACGGTAAGAATGCACTCAAGAAGGAGACGTACGAGGGTGGAGACGAGTGGCAGTTTCGTTAGAGCTACAACAGAGATCGGTGGGAGTTCAACCGCATACAGCGCGCGAGGACCATAGATGGAGGATGAGTGGGTGTAGGAGAGGCCAGTTTGTGGATGACGAGGAGCGCGCAGAAACGAGGAGTCCCAGTACGCACCCAGCCGCGAGTATAGCGGAAGTTAAGTCGCGAGAAAAGCTGAGAGTACGGGTGTTAGCTGTGTCCCAGGGCGAGTAACTTCAAGGCGCGATGGCTGGTGGTCGTAGAGAGAGTCGAGCGACGATCGTCGTCGTCGAGGAAAAGAGAAAAAAGCGCCCACTCGGCCCACGCCGGTCCGGAGCTCTCCGCCACCTCACTCCAAAGTTCATCGCGTCGCCACAGCGAGTCGTCCCAACCTCCGACCATCTTTCTTCGCCTTCGCTCGCTGCTGCTCTCCTCCTCCAAGTCAAACAACACGACCACCAGGCACGCCCAAACAATACGCACACCAAACGCTCAGATACAGTTTGCTCGACATCCGACCCTGTTTCGATTGGCACTCGAGGCGTAGGTCGAACGCTTTGCGCATCGCCCCCTCCCTCCTCTCTGGGACCTCGCCATCTATCCTCCCATACCGTCCTGCACGCCCATACCCACCCCGAACGCAACCGGAATGGGACTCTTCAGCCACTCCACCTTCCGTTCCGTTCTCCTCGAACCCTTCCACCCACCTATCGGCCTCAACGCCGCGTTCTGCGTGCCCCACGTCGAGACGCTCATCATGAAGAGGAAGATGAGGAGCTTCAGCGGTGACTATTTCAGTATTCAGACTCGGTGGGGCAGGATGCGGTTAGCTGTCATGGGCAGGAGTTTAGTTGGCGGGGCGGAAAGGTGCGTAAGGCTCTTTTTCCGTGGTTGACTATCTGTCGACCATCGTCACGTAGAATTCAGAAACACTCAGCAAATGACGCACTTTTCCGTCCGTAACAAAGTCCTCGCGTTCCACAAGACACATACGATCGAGGCCGCGAACGGTACCGATCTCTGTACGGTCAAGAGAAAGTTCGGTAGTGCGTTTGCTCTCTTCCTCTTTTCCCTCTTCTCTTCGTGAACTCGTTTTCCTCGTCCCCGTTCTACGTCTCCCCATCCTGTTTCGTATCACTCCCACTGACTACCATCGAACACAAACTCAGTTAGTTCCTTCCGCATGGTGGCCTCCTTTCACAACCTCGCCTCCATTAACGCAGCCTCCTCCTCGCACGACCTCATCGAGCTCGAATGTAAAGGTGAATGGTTCGATAGGTGCGTTTTGCTCATTCGCATTCTTTTCCTTTCCTTCTCTTTGCCACCATCGTGCGGTTCTGACGTGGGTGGGTTGGCGGTGAGCTTATATGCGCCGCTTTTGATTCTCTTTTTTCTCGTTATCGTTCGTTCTTACGTCTCCGCTTCTCCTCTGTCCCCTTTCCTTCTACTACGTCTTTCCCCCCGTTCTTCCGCCCTTTTTACTTCAGTATCTCCTCTAACATCCTCTTCCCCTCGTCTTTCGTCCAACAAGTGTACTTATAGATGCGCAATAATGACCCTCCTCGGTACCAAACATGTCGTCGGCCAGATATCACGCAAAATATTGAATGTTAGAGAGGTGATTGGGGGACAGCAGACTGTACGTCTGTTATTATTCTTGGTTTCGTTTCGTTTCTTTTTTTTCTTTTCTTCCGACGTTTGCAGTGGTAGCGGTTTTTGGGTGGTCTACGGTGGTCAACATTTTTTGATCCGTTCATTTTTTCGTCACTTTTGATTCCGTCTCGCGTTCCTTTCTTGTGCTTGGTTTTAATGCTGGTTAGACGTAGGGTTTGCGCACGGAAGAACCCATCTTCCACGGACACGTACCCGAGCTCAGAGAGAGCACGAACGCGTTCCATACCGATGCATTGTCATCATCGTCGTCTCGGGTTCATCGTCCTCGTCTCAAGCAAACAGTCATCGTCGCCGTCTCGGCCGAACGGTCATCGTCTCGCGCTCATTGCCCTCGTCTTCAGTGATCGACTAACTAGCGGAGTGGTTGGCTCCTTTGATGGCTTGGGCTGGCTGGATTCTGTAGTCTTGTACTCGCATGCTCGTTTAGGTGCTCATATTCTGGGCGTTCGTATTTGCGTTTGGGCTTTCGTTCGAAACCTGCAGTTCGAAGCTCGAACGAAGCTCGGAGGAAGGAACAGCATTTGCTGTTTATGAGACATCGAGCGGTTTCGACATGTAATACTCCGGGTGTTTGCCCCCTATGAGACATGGAGGCTTTGCTATGTGTATGACATCGAGCCTTTGCTCTGTGACGACATCGAAGTGTTTAGTCCTTTTCGTATTTCGATCCTTTCCGATGTATAGGCACGGAGAACTGACTCGGTATCAGAGCTCGAGCCTTGAGCACATCATGCTCGAGCTTTTGATCCGTGTCGTGCTTCGAGAGCATTGGCTCTTCATCGCGTACACGGATACATACATACATATATGCATACATGCGACTTTTTGTCCTTGTGATAGTAAGGTCTTCGGTCAGCCATCAGCCGTGCAAGTCGAGCTCTTCGATTATTCCACTCTGACGCATACATGTACGCATACATCCATACATGGACTGTTCATCGCTTCCTGATAGCATGGCGATGGAGTGCATGACAGCGACGCGTCGTGGGTCGTGCGCCGTTCTTCGTTCTTCGTCGTGCTTAACATCCAAGTTTCCATTTATTTCACTCACGTCAGCGTGACCTACCGTGGTCCGATCCCTCCCGTCTTCACACTCGTGAAGAACGTCGCTCGATTACTAACGATCTGCTTTTTTCTCTTTCATTCTATCTTATTTTCGTCATTTATTGTTCGACGTTCTTTTTGTCGTCCCCGCTCCGACTTCACCTTCGACTGGCTGAGTTACTACTTCGACTACATGTACATAGATATCCAGTGGTTGACTATATGGACTAAAACGTTGCTGACGACTCCCTTTCAGACTCTTTTGTTCGAATCAGCTCCGCACATAAACCTACGTTCGTAGTCTTTGCGTGTTTCTAGACTCGAGCTGTTTTGTCTTTTCCAGCTCGTCGTACCTCTCACCACCGATGTTCCGCCACCGATGATCTCATCTTCGCTACCCTTCTGAAGACGTTATGGTACTCTGCGAATTTGACGCTTCAGCGTCGCTTCTTTTATGTCTCTCGATGCTCTACGCAGGGTGTGGTGAGAACTTTGGAGATTTACGCGAAGATTGCCCATGGACGCAGTGGCATTGCTCGTGGGACTAGCATGGTGCCTATTGCGAATAGTATTGCACTCGCAATCTAACACTGGATCCAACCATCTCGATCCAATATCAGAGTGAGGGCCGAAAAGCATGATACATAATTCATGCAGGCTAGCGCTACTGCCGAAATAAGAGCGACATTAGGAGGTCAAGGGAGAATGGTGTGCCCTCTGTGAACTGACGAAAATACACAGTCCCGACGGACAGACATGAAGTAGAAGTGAGCGAGTGACAATAGCCACGAGATGCAGACCTGGTGCTTCTACCGAGATCGAGGATGGAAGTGCATCGTTGTGTACTCGATTTCAGGCTGCATCGCCAACAAGAGTGGTTCCTAGTAGGCGAGGATTAGATACCACCCGTTGAAGGCTTTGACTCCGAATATAGAACCCCGTTCCGAGACCCAGATTTTTTGCGCAGGGCGCAATAACTGAAGGGAGGAAGTGTTCAAAGTGGTGAGGCGGAAATCGGGGGAATCTCCACGAACGGATCGAGAAGCAATAAGTCTATGAAAACATGCAGGATGAGGTGTGGAGGCTCATCAAATCGACGACAAGGGAAATTCAGAGTTATGATGCGCCAAATATAGGCTGTGAGTGACGGAGACGACGACGAGGGATATTCCGCCTTGTAATAAGATGATCAATGAGGATATTAGAAGGCAAAGGACGACTGGAGTGTCAGCTGTGTCCGGTGCGCCGGTATTAGCATAATTCCGAAACGTATGCTGCTGAAGATACCGCGGTAGACCTCGAGCAAGACATCATCAAGGCATATAGAACGGGCCACAACACAAAATCGTCCAGCAGACGGACAAGAACGAGGCCGTGCAAATGCACGGCTTGCATGGCTAGCTTCTTCACGAGAACCCGAACTTAACAAGCATTAACCACTCTCTATCAGAAGAGCTTTGCGCAAAAGTCGACCCGCCTGAGATCGGAGGCACCTCTAGCACTGAAGTTCACGAGTGCAGAACAAATCACGAAACACCAGAAAGGGCGCAGGATGTGCATGAGCCAGCCATACAAGAAAGCTGACATCGTCGTTTCAGCATCGGTCCTTGTAGTGACTTCGAGGAGGAGGTCTGCCGTGGTGGTCAACCGTCACAGAGACTCAGAGGACGAGAGGAAGGGTAGGGAACGGGAAAAAAAACGAACATGACGTCATCATTCATGGACTTACTGGCATCGCCACAATCGGCGCCACATCAACCTCGTCCTCCCTCCCTCCCTCTTCTCCACTCCCTCGACCGCATCCTCTACTGCAATACTGTCCGATATGGGGGTAATATCCGCTCACCTTTACATCAACAGGTAGAAAAGAACTTCATCCGGAACCTATGGGAGCCAATGAAGCACACACAACGCCACCAATTATGCCTCACCTCCCTCTTTGTGCACGTCTCAATCAATATCCACATCACAATAAAGCGACGCAGTATTTAGACGGAAGATGTAGGCTACCTGGAGCTGGTTGGAAGCCGGACGTTTCACTGGAGTAGACGGATGGAGCAGTCGCCCAAGAGCGCATGTGCTTCCGGCGTAGGTGAAGACGGAGGTTTTTAGGTACGCCCGCATTGTTTTTTCTACAACCGCCGTCTCGGATTCGTCGAGTACGCATACAGTCTCTCACCTCATCTGCATTCCGTGCTATCCGACCTCGTAGCTCCGTCACTCACCTCCCTTCTCAACCCCTATCCGCCCCTCGCCATCATGCGTAGGTTCTACTCGCCGCTCCGAGCTCCACTACTCTCGTCCTCGCTCGAACACTCGTAGTACCCGGCCTTCACCCGACTACTCCGTACTCGTACCTCCGCATCCACCTACGACGCACATTGGTTGACGATCGCCATTGATCAATCGCCACACAACCTCACGCTACGAAGGACGGCCGTGATTATAGAGGTGGTATGAGGCGAGGATTTCTCGAGGTGTCGGAGTGAAGGCTTGTCCGATTAATCGATTTCCCGATTGCTCCGCACAATACTGACCTTCCTTGTCTTCTTAGCATACATAATCCGCTACTTCTAGCTGGAGCCACTTCTGCTCCCGGGTGCATCGCGAACGATGCGGCTATTCCAAACGATCCGACTATGAATGGCGGTTCTTCCTCAACACTTTCACCTCAACCTCATCCTCGCCCAAACCCTGAAATATCGACGCGCAGGGGTCTACCTCAGCTGAGACGCGGCCTTCCCGACAGCTCTTTGGGTGGTGTAACGGGAGAGGAGGCCATGGAGGAGGGGCTCGAAGGGCGGCATAGAATCAGCGCGGTACGTACGCAGGTTTCGTTGCATCTGTCCTAAGGGATCACCACTAGTGACAATAGTCCTCCTTCGGTAGATATCACAGTCCACCTTCGTTGTTCAACACTTTTGCTTTCGGTGTGTTTTGAACGGTACGAAAATCCCCATCTCTCCCCTTCTCCCCTCATATTTTCGATCTATCTGCCGCCAGATCATCATGATACCCAGCACTGACGAGTATCTTCGTCTCAGGTAGCCACCATGACAACCGTCACTCCCGCGCTCTCCACGAAACCTCATTAGCTCGTAGCAGCATGCCTTCGACAAACTCCATGCCCCGCACTCCGCGCAGAGTCATCCTTCACATCAGGAGTCAACTCCGAACTCATTCTCCAGCTCGAGATCCATCGCATCCACCTATATCTCGACTTCCGCATCCGCACATCCAGCCTCACTCGAACTGCCGAAACCGTACCGCCCACTGCGGCTCTCCTTCCACCGCGACACTCCGAGACCTATTGGCCGAATACGTCATCGGCTGAAGGATGTAGTTAAAGATTTGAGCGGGGTTGCTGGTATAGCGAGACAGGATATGCTCATCCGGTGTTTGTTAACGCATATAATCATCAGGATAGCTGAACTCGAGTTCCAACCTCGGATTCGGATGTAAGTGCTTCATTGCCCTACTCCTACCGTACGCTGGCTTCCTTTGCATGCCTTTGACTGTTGGCCCTCATCTTTTCGTGCAGGTCTTCGACTCCCGTGCACAGGCACGCACGCTCAGGCCACGGTCGCCACCGCCACACATCTCACCTTCGACTTGAGGTGACCATGTCAGACGACGATTGTTCGACTCCATATGATCCTCACAATATGTTCAACCGGAACGATGGATGTCGACGGACGCCAGAAGTACGGATTTATTCACTGCAGGAGCTGTTGCTAGCGAGAAGTTTCCGCGTCGGCTTCCAATCACAGGTTCATTTCTATTCTGTCCGCTTTTCAACCTCCCGTCTTATTCGCATGGTCAACGGAGCACGGTGACTGCTATGAACCGTATACTCACACTTTCACTCCCTTCCTCCCGGTTTTCCACTGATCTCTGCGAAACATTTTCCCGTTTCTTCCGTTCTCGTAACATCGATTTCTACGTTATATTTGGTCTCTTCGCCAGGTTACTTATATGATTCCTTGGCAACAATGGGGTCAAATTTTTGAATCACCTTGATACGGGGCGAGTTTGATTTCGTCAGCCTTTGTTCCATGAATATTACCTGCGGTACCGCGATGTGTCAACTATTCGTGGAATCCACTTTTCAATTTCGATTGATTTCCGACTCATTAATGAGTCGGAAATGTCTTGCCTAGACCGAGGAGCGGCATGGTAAGTATGTACAGAGGAAGCGAGCATATATCCACAGAAAAAGTGTAGGAAAGCCTGAGAGACGATGAGATCACTGTCCTGTCGGATCCGAACCATCAGCACGTCGTTCGTGTGGCAGACATTATACCGAGAACGTATCATGTCGGAGAATCACCAAGGACTTTATGCAGCGGAAACAGTGAACGTACGCGTGAGTACCGTAAAATAACGACTGATACACAGGCATGGAGCGAGGATAGACGGAACGAGGGCTATTTGGTTACGAGTAACCTATGTATGATACAAAATGGAAACTACACTCGAATACCGGACGATACGACCACGTAACGCACAATTATCAGTCGATGGCGGATGAGACATGTATTCATAGCGTGAATGAAACTGCAAAACGAGGCAAGAGGCCAGTAGGTATTGGAATGTTGAGTCATGCGATAACACGAAGGAAGGGAGGTTCAATACACTGAATGAACAAGTGAATATCCCTCGAACCACCTTTGAAAACAAGAAAGTCAGCATGGTAAGGGAATAATAACAATTCTGCACAATGAAACATACCGGAAGCTATTCGTCGACATAAAACCCACTCGCTCGGACACCACCCTAAAACTTGATCGACTCTCCCGTATTCGCGTTCCAAAGCCGAATCGTCTTGTTGTCCGAAGCCGATGCGATGAGCTGTCCATCCGGCGACCATGCGACAGACCACACGTAGTCGGTATGGCCTCCCATAGGCTTGAAAACCTCCTTCCCCGTCTCCGCATCCCAGACACGGACAGTCTTATCCACAGAGCCAGAAACAATCCGCTTCCCATCCGGAGAGTATGCGACTGACAAGACAAAGTTGGTGTGACCTCCCAAGGGCTCTCTCACCGCCTTCCCCGTCTTCGTATCCCAGATGCGGATGGTGTGATCGTAGGAGCCGGAGACGATGCGTGTGCCATCGGGTGAGAATGCGACAGAAGAGACAGGAAAGCCATGACCACGGAATGGCTCTCCGACGGCCTCCCCCGTGTGTGCATCCCAAAGGCGTACTGTCCTATCATCCGAGCCAGAGACGATATATCGCCCATCTGGCGAATACTGCACGGACAAAACCTGTCCTCTACGCCCTTCGAGTGGCTTGAAAGCCTCGGACCTCGTTTCGACGTTCCATACACGGACATTGCGAGCGTCAGAACCGGAAACGAGGTGTTTCCCATCCGGCGAGAATCCGACAGAAATGACAGCCTCGGTATGACCTCGTAGGGGTTCACCTTTCTGCTTCCCAGTCACCGCATCCCAAATCCGAACCGTTCCGTCGTAAGAACCGGAGGCAATGAGGGAACCGTCCGGAGAGAATTGAACGGACATAACGGAGTCTGTATGGCCTTCGAGTGGGTGAAGAGATTCTGTGCCGGGTTGTACGTCCCAGACGCGGATCGTGAGATCGGAAGAGCATGAGACGAGTTGTTTGCTATCTGGGGAGAATGAAATGGAGTTGACGTAGGAGGTGTGTCCGTAGAGGCACTCTCGATAGGTCTCGGAGATATCAATGCTCCTGGAGCCAATCGTGCCATCAACGGAAGAAGCAAGGATGCTCTTCCCGTCCGGTGAGAAGTTGACGGAGGAGACCCACTCGTCGAAAAACTTGATTGGAGGATTGACCGACCGACTAGTTTGAGATTCCCACAAACGACAGGTCGAATCAGTCGATCCAGAGACAATGTGCTCTCCGTCCTGAGAGAAGGCAAGCGATGTGATCCAGCCGGTGTGGCCGTATAGGATTCGAACATGGGTATCGCTACTTTGCAGGTCCCAAACACGTATCGTGCAGTCGTAAGATCCGGAGGCGAGTTGATGGCAATTCGGGGAAAAGGCGAGGGAGATGACTCCTGCGGTGTGACCCTGCAATGATGCTATAGAAGGAGCTGGAGTGTCGTCTCCGGATAGGGAATGGATGTGGATTGTCCCGTCGGACGATCCAGAGGAAAGGAGTGAGTTGCTGGATGAAAAAGCCAGTGACGTGATGGTACTCGTGTGATCCAAGGGTGTGGCCGCGCTGGGTGCGCCTGTGGCTACGTCTAAAATTTTGATTGTGCCATCCGCAGATCCGGAGGCCACGAGCGTGCCATCTGCGGACAGTACGACGGATCCAACAACGTCGCTATGTTTAATGACGCACAAGTTCTCAGAGGTTTCGATACTCCATACTCGAGCACAGCGATCAAGACCGCCAGACGCCAGAAACGCTCCATGGGACGACAACGAAAGACAAAGTACCGCAGACTTGTGTCCGTCGAGCGTTCTCGTCAACGTGGCGGGCCTGTCGTGATCCGCCACACTGTGTACTTCGATGGTGTTGCCAAACTCTTTGGCCACAGCAATATGTCTTCCGCCCGGAAAACTGGCGATTGACGATGGAATAAATCCGACTCCTGAGAGTCTTGGTTAATTAGCGGTAGGGTCTTTCCGTGATGTGGAAACTGACCTCTATCTGGAAAGATATCCACTTGTTCGTCTTCTCTAAATAGTAATTTGCTGCTTTGTAGTATGCTGAGATGAATATCTCGAGGAAGATGTCCTCCAGCCCGAAGAGTGTATTTGATGTCGGGAGTCTCGCGTAAGGCCCGAGCTTCATCAGCTGGATAAAGGCATCAGTGCCATCAACATATTACAACGATGAAGAAACGCACGAGAAGATACCATCGAAACAAATTGCTTGACCAGCTCCATGATATTGTTGCGTTTCCGGCTGTGATCTTCTGCAGAAGAAATGTCGCTCACCAGCTCGAGCGCGCGATCATAAAGGTCGCGCTCGACGTAGTTGGGTAGATTCTTCATCTCGATCCCAGATAATTCAGACCAAGACGTTATACCGATATCACCGCCTTCAAACTTCTCGAGTAGGGCTTTCGGTTCATAAGAACCATTCTTCTGTTGAGCACCATGGAGGACTGAACTGTGCAGCTTTTGACCAGGCTTAATGTACCGGCCAGCACCAGAATGAAACCTACAGCATAGATGTGAGTGACACTTTGACAAACCACAATTCTGCTGCGTACCAACGTGTCACATTACTCGCGCCGTCATATGTGAGATGTGTCAAGCGCAGATACTCGAGTATGTACCATGGACCTGCCAGTGATTCGTGTACGTTGATCTTCGATTGAATTTCCCATTCCCTCGTGAACGGTTCCAGACGCAAGCCTGCTGCCGTTGCTTCGTACGACATCCAGCGCAAGGGAGGGTCGCTGCGATTCATCTCCGGATTTTGAATGTTTCCACCGCCGCTGTGATTGGATGAGCGACCAGAACCATCAAAATTCCGACCTGCCCACTCACATATCCGAGTGGGTACCCGCAAACCACACCTCCTTTGTATGCGATAGAAGAGTTGTGCTGGAATGATTCATGGCTTTTTCCTCTGCCTCACTGTTAACTTTTCCACCGCTCCTGTGATTTAGTGAGCAACTAATTTATCAACAGTCGGCCCTCCATACTCACATAATAGATTGCGGAGCCACAAGAGACACGTGCGCCCCCTTTCTATGCATTGCAAGGGTTGTGTTGGAAACATTTCTGGTTTTCTCCTCTGTATCTCTCTTCGCATCCGGAAAGTGGCTACCCTCGTACGCATACTCCGGAAGAAATTTAACGCGTCTCTCATCGAGGGCCAACGCATGACGGAAGAACGTAACATGCTTCATTCCCGAAGTCGTCCCAGGTAGAACCTTGTCACGAACGATCCCAACGGAAGATACAGTATCCCTGTGTACTTCAATCGTCAGGAATACGTGCGATGAGATTTTAGGGGAAAAAGTACGGACCACGCTCCCACAAAATGTACCTGTACCTCCCGAGAGAAAGACTTTTTGAATCGTTTAGCCATCTCTTTCGGGTCGTCACTGACGTCTTCCTTGGTATTCCCGATATCCACTTCACTGGCTTGCTTCACGTCTTTCGTGACCACGAGCCTCCGCTTAAAAGGGTTATAGACTTTGGCCTACGAGAAAGCATTTATAAAAGCAAGATAGCTCTAGCATGTGTCCGAGTCAGTGTTGAGGTAATTTGATATCTACTCACCATACGATGGTGCATGCCAGCAAACTTCAAGTCTGCCGGAGGCCATGTTATGAGCGACAAAGTGAAGATTGACGAAGAGGTTTTGGAGAACATGTCCTGGAATTGCTTTATCTTGCTATCGTCGGTGAGCTATGAGATATCATACCAGTGTTAGCCTGATGTGGAACAAGTCAAGATATAATGAACGCAACCTGCAGTCGGGTGGTATATATTTCCTGCGGACTAGAAGAAAATGTATCACTATTCGCATCCATGGGGCGGAGCCGACTTACGAGGGAATTATTCCAAGACTAGTAATATTCAACAGTCAGTGCAAGTCATTGCGATCGAGTAAGGACTCACAGTAGTAGGACGGTGGATGCCACGAGTATTGAAACCGTGATACGTACGAACCATTCGATGAGAGCAAAGAATGTCCAGAGAATGTGAGACACGGGGTGGTGATAGAATAGCGTAAATATGAAAGATATCGCAGGTATTCCCAACCAAAACAGCACATTAATTAACCACACCGTGGTGGTCGTGCTGTTTTCCTATCGTTCGGCGGAATCATTGTCAGTGATATGCACATATAGAAGTACCCAGGACAGTGCGGCAAACCTTTCCGGTAGAGGCATACAGCTCATATGCACTGTCATCCTGATGGTCAATACAATGCTGCAGGATATAGAGAACAACATACAACGGAATTTGAGCATCGTTTCCTCGATGAATTAAACCGACCTGTGTCCGATATACGTCAGTGTATGCTGAAGTCAATCGGACAGTGCCTTCGTACCGTATCAATCATGGCTGATAGACATCGGACCTGGTATGCTCCACGAGAAAATCCTGAACGATGACGAAAGGTCAGCTCCACGCGAAAAAAAAAAAAAAAAAAAAAAAAAAAAAGAAAACTGTGAACCAAGCATACCGAATAGGAAAACACGGTCGCCGTCGCGATAGTTCTCCGACAGCCACAGGTATGCCTCCTGTATTATTCTTTCATAGTTCCTAGAAAAATCTCAGACTCGAATGTTCATCAGACGGCTAGCTGAGCACGCACCACGCGATCATGAGGTCGATGGTGTGTCCGATGGCTTGCCTCCAATAGGATAACGAACGCCAGGAAGGTTTAGCATACGTCCCTATACCACTGTTGTAGAAGGTGATTTGACGCTTGTCCTTCACAAGGAGGTGATAGAGCTCGACGACATTGGAGTTCTGAGAGCAACGGGAGGCTATATTGGAAAGCTGCTGCAGGAGTGGCTGCGCCGCGGGCGTACCTTTATGCCGAATTGATTCGCAGTTCCATCTATACACACGACAAGATTTCTTGGACCAACATCTTCGTCCTTCCGCGCCTCCGCAACAGCCGCCTCTAATTTCTCGATCCTATCCTTTGATTTCTCCTCTGACTGTGAAATAGCGGCACGTATCTCCTGTTCATGCTGAAGCGTCGCAGCAGCAGCGGTGGCTGCGGCATTACTCAGCTTTTCCTCGAATTCCGACTTCATCCTGTCTTCAGTCTGAGACACAGCGGCTCTGATTTGTTCTGCGAGAGAGGCCTGAACTTGCTTTAGAATCTCCTCAATGCTAATATTCTCTTGATCCATGGCCTGAAGTGGTGTACAAAGATATAGATTGAGGTGAGACGGATAGGTGAGCGTATTGGGGTGAGGGTAAGGTGTGAGCGAGCTCGCGTCCAAGGGAAGAGACGACCATGCACACCTTCCTTCGTGAGACTATTTCAACACGCATGTACCACGTTGTTTCGTGAAGGCATCATTGCCTTCTGCTGGCAGCATGATTCTTTCAAACCTTCGTGTGCGTCTAGATTGATAACAACCCGCTGAATTGTCCATTGACGCCTTCGACTTGAACGTCGTATGGAACCCTCGGGCCTATATTTAATGCACATGAGGCTTCATGGGAGTGGAGCACTCCCATCAGAACGCGTACGATTGATACGGCGGTACGTTTGTAGCGAGAGAAAGCTAACAATAACGCATTCTAGACAAGTTATAGCAAGGACCAGGTCAGGGTACCGCAGGTAGGGAGATATAATTTGACCCGCTATGCCAGTCGCGGAGACGGCGCCCATGCCGTTCGACTCACAGATACGGCAGTATAGACTCGAAATACCAATCTAATATTATGACCGCCCTCGGGAACTCAGCCTTGAGATCGAACACGCGCAAAACATGGGTGAACCCACAATCGTACAAGCTCAGTTCCACTCCATACCAGCGTAGCGCCTACTTCGATGTCGAAGGGACAAGACCAGAACGCAACAGCTAGTTCCTGCTTCAAAGTGTATCAAAACTTTCCTACCGACACAAGGAGCAATTGTACATGCATAACTGCCCTGAAATATTTCATGCAAAGGCGCTTTTGAACGGCGCCTCCAGCCCAGTCCGAAGCACTCTCCCCATTGCCTTATATCTGGAACGTGATCGGGCCTCACCTCTAGAGCCGAAGTTCTCGCAGCAAAAATGGTCAGGATGAGCACAATGGCCGCCGAACTTGGAACGGCACTCGACACTCGTATCCTACCTGGACCCTTGAATGGGAGCCGACTGAGGGAGGAAGTAATAGATGCAAAAATCGGCTGTATCTCCCACGTCTAGTATCGTTGGCTCGGATGGCTGCTAACTCCGAGACCCCAAAGTATCCAAAATATGGCGCTTGAGGAGACACGATCGAATTGAGAACCGAAAGAAGGAAAAGCGAAGAGGATATAGACGAGCATCCCGAAAAACACGACTTTCGCGAAATCTGAAGGACATGAAGATCGAAGGTCGTATGTGGAATGTAGCCTAGACTAAAGGTGTGAATGAATCAGTCGTGGTGCATAAGAAAGGTGCATCTGGCATCAACGAAGGAGATCGCAGAACGCCACAGAGCCAACATACTCGCTGTGTGTCACCCAAGCGAGTGAACGATCGTCGATTCTAGCATCGAGAACGAATACGAATGTCACTTTGCTCCCAAGGTGTTTATATCTGAAACAAATGCACAGGGACCCGAGCGCAGACGCATGTATTGGCAACCCGACCAACGACTGGATGTCTCGAGGGCCAATTTCGTGTTCTTGCCCCAATATATATCAGTGCCCGTCTTCGCTCTCCTCTCGTCTCGCCCACGGGCGCGGAAACCAACAATCAAGCCTTCCTGAACGTATAGCGCGCAGGCAAACATATCGCATCCGAGCACAGCCAGCGATGGAACGTGAATGGCTGCAATAGGAAACGAGAGGGCACTGAATGGAAACATCACTCACATAACGCGTAGTTAGTTGGAGGATTAGAGGAGATGACGATATATTGATGCTATCGAGATCGGAGGGCCGGAGCAGGGCGGAAACACTGATATATGCGCCAGTGAAAGGCGCGTGAAGGTAGAAAAACATGGATGAGGAGGGCGAGGGCGACAAGACATGTTGTACTTGATGTGATAGGTAGCGAAATGCCTGCATAAGGAAGAAAGGAGGACGAGTATGGTGGTAAGGTATGAGTAGCCGAGGCAGTAGCCGAGGCAGTAGCCGTGGAAAAGGAATGGTGAGAATCGGTACATACGGCTGGTCTATTCAAAAGAGGTCGACGGAGAAAGATGACGCAAAGAGTACGTGGTAAAGGTATTATCAAAACGTAACGCCAACGATGTGGGCAAGAGAGGATCGGGATGTCGTTCATTTGAATGCGGAATACGATGATGTGAGGGAAAAGGAATAGTGTATGCGATGAGCGCATGAAGCTGATGTTTCACAAATGAAAACCGAATGAAGAAAGAGAAAAAACGCACCGGTATCATTACACTGCGCATCGATGAGATCGCGTGGGAGGATGAAACGCTCGCGGAGGCGTGGTTGTGGAAGGGGCCAATTATGCGTGAGCATCCAGATACTGTGTTTGAGGAGAGAGTCAGCTGGCGATTGAAGCAAAAGAATGTGAGACGTGATGATGAAAGGTAGACGCAGAGGGATATGATAATGGAAAGACAAACTACAGGGAAGGCTGCGGAGGACAAGAGGACGTGGAGGGATGAGAAGAGTGCGTCTTCGGATACGAAACGATAGGGCAAGGATGCAGAGAGATGAAAGGATAAGAAGAGCATACCAGGGCATTTATTCGTCGTCGTGCAGAGATCGGCGGCGTCTATCCAGACCAAAGTCAGAACAGCATTGATTAAGGTGGGGATGGGCGCCATTTGCACAATCGTCGTTCAAACAAAGGTCTTGACTGACAAACGACAGCATAGATTCATGGGGCAGGAGTAGAATCCCAGGAACAGTGATGGGATAGAGGAGACAACGAGAGCCGTGAAACAAAGAGAAACGTACTGTTCCAACTATACGCTTATCCACCGCAGCTCGCCACATTCTGCTCCCCGGGTCAATCGCTAACGCAATTCTCCATCTTCACCTTCATGTTGAGGATGGGAGGTCGAAGGGTTCGAGGCAGACGGATTGACCGGTATGGTGGTGTCAGAAGACCCATAGTCGTTTGCGTAGGGAAAACGAGAGGCCGGGAGGTGCGGTGATGCTGTATTACATGCGAGAAGAGGGTCCATGTCATTTTTTACATCGCTGCTGAGAGCTGACGTCGAGCGAGAGGAGAACGGTGAGGTTGTGGAGGGGTCATACTACTCTTTTGCAAGTACGAACGGGGCTCGACACACCGTTCGTTGTGATATGCAGCGCGTCATGTATGCATTACGCTCGCCGTCTTAGACTCGATCGGCAGGTTGTGTGGCTACCATTGGTGAGGGGAGACTGAGCAATGGAAAGGGAGACGATGCGGTGTGGCGGAATGCTTGTGGCGATAAAGAAATTCATCTCGCGGAAGGGTCCGGAAGAGGCCCAACTCGGGACCGAGACCTGCCGACGGTAGCATTTTTTTCACCCGCTTCTCCTCTTCGTTGACCCTCACCACCACCCGTAGCTCTTTCACTGCTGACTCTCGACGGTTCTGTGAACGAACCACTTATCGTTGCTTTCGCTCGGGTGCTCAGTGCTCTTCTCCTTTGTGACTGATTCGCCCTCAAAGAGCTCTCAAACTCGCTGCTAGATTCGGGATCGTTGGCTCTGGGTTGCACTGTTGGTTTTGTGTCTGGGCATGGCTCTGGAATCTCGTCTGCCTGTCTCTCTGCATGGTTGACATCCTCGACATGTTTGGTATCACACTATCTCTCACTAGTCAGTCTCAAGCTTTTAATATCCGTCGAGGCTGGCGGTTTGTTCTTAACTGCTTCCGAATTCCCCGTCTAGCTCGTCGCTTGATGCAGCGTGTCTGCTCCTTTCCGAACCGTCTTCTCTTCAGCATTGAGAAATGTGTTCATGTAGTTCTGAGTGTGACGCTGACCAGGAACACATAAACGAGACCTGGGTTTCCTCAAAGTTGCTTTCCAAGCTGCTTTTCGTTACATCTGGCAGATACGCTCCTCATTTCCATATCCTCGCTATATGCTGAAGCCGTACTGGGTCTCTGTGGACCAGCTATGGGAAGCACGGATGAAAATCCTCGTACTCGAGATAGTACGTTTGCTCTTTGTGTAGCTGTATCGCATCTTCATGGTCACGCTTGTGGCCCACGACCCGGTATATTTAGCTAACTCAACGGATTCGAGCAATTCTACACATATGGATGCATTGTGCTCGACTATGGCGGAGCGACTGAGCACCAATCCGCTCTGTATGACTCCGAGGCTCTCCACCTCGAATTACTGTGTCTTGTCCTTTGTGATCTGTGAACTATGTGCTAACTGGGCCCACCACAATTGTGACCGCGGTAGTTCATGGGCTTTATGCTCTCAGGACTTGAGCACCTCAGTCAATAGCTTTGTGTATGTTCGTCCCTCGTGTCAATGTGCTTGAGACTTGTCACCGAGCGACATTAATTTTAGCTCTGTTGCGTGGTCATTCAAGCCTTCGGTATGTTTGCTTGTCCTCGTTCCTCCGTTGTGGCGCGCACACTAACCTAAAAGCTACCGTCACACGCTAATTTGCGCTGGCTCGTCTATTGTGTGCTGTTCATCAATACTTAGCGTGTTGCGGAAACATGCCTTACTTCCTCCAATCGTGGTCAGTGCATGGAAGCCGCCACAATAATTTAGATATATTTATGCGACTTCAAATACATTCTCCGAAGCCCTGGACGCCCTCGCCTCTCCCTCGAGGGCCTTTGACTTGGGACACGTTGTTCTTTCGGCGAAACCGTCACTATCGATGATGACGTGAATGTATGGACTGACGCCACCGAAATACGGAACAGCTACTTATAATCGCATTGTGCGCTCATACTCCATATTCTCTGTCTCATCTCATCACTCAAGCCACTGTTTGCAGTCTCATACTACTTCATGCTTTCACTGAAAGCTCTCCTTTTCGAGCTACTAAATATGACTCAGAGGACTCATGAGCACACTCTTCTTTCGGACGAGCCCACATTTACGCGGTGCGAATGTTCTGGCAGCCACCGAGTGTCGAGACAGGTAGTTATCGGAGGAGCTGTTATAATCATAGGAGCTGTTGTTGGTGCAACAGTGGCCCCTGCTGTTGCTCGAGGCGTAGTGGGATTGATAGGCTTTGGTGCCAACGGTGTCGTTGAAGGTAGGTATTCTATACTGGCGTCCCAGTTTCGGAGAATCTGAGACGAACTGAACTATGAAGGAACGAGGGCGGCCGAAATCCAAAGTTGCATAGGAAATGTCGTTTCCGGATCGTCTTTTTCAGTCGCACAGAAAATCGGTGCAGGCGGCACCTTACCGGCTTGGGCCTTTCTAGTGGGCGCTGTGGACGGAATTGTCAGCGCAGTCATCATTGGTGCGGTCGGTTACGGAATATATCAGCTCATTAAGGGCCGGTCGAAGGACAGGAAGCGGGAGACGTACATGTTATGCGAAAAATGTCGAGGGCTCAAGAAATATCCTTAAATGAAGGTTGGCTCGAAGCTGGGGACTTGCTTTTCTTCTGTGGTTCCAGTTTCATATGCGCTCGACTACTCTACTTCTGGTACTGTACTCGAGATTCTCGGTCTCAGAGATTGTTTCGTTAGGTACATGAAATGCTATAATTATCTTTTCCTCTTTGATACGTTAGTGTCCGCAATCTCATGCAATTTTCCATTTATTCACAAAGACACATATGTATCATGATGCACACAGCAAACTGCTAGGATTCCCTCAAGCCCAGTGTAAAGAGCCGGGAGCGGCGAAACCCATGGACACTTAGCTGAAGCTGTTATTAGTACATGTCAAGTGGTGATCGTACTCGCGGAACCTAACTTGTGGGCCGACGAGCAAGCATGTCTCGTTCGCGGTCTGCTCACCGGGGACTGAATCCGTGAAGCGACCATTGTAGTGCGGGTCTCTACCTCGGCCAGCTGGTTTAGCGGCTCGACCTTGGTAACATTATTGGATTCCATTAACCTTTGGACGTCATCTGATTGGAGAAACATCTAACCAATTCGAAAGGCGACAACGATGATCCTAGCGTAGGCGTTGAACTGGGTATACGTTATCAGAGCAGCCCTGGGAGCTCCACACCATCGTGGTGTAGCGCGTCGCGAATCGCCCTTGCCATCTATGTGCACAGCGACGTTCTCATCCACGGAGATCACTATCCACATGGAAACGTTGCGAAAGCGGTTTCCTAGTTGGGCTGCAGCTAGCGGACGAACAGACTCGACAGAGTAGGAAATGATAACCGGAAAGACCATCAATTTCCATCTAAGCATGGACGAGGAATATATCCACAAGTCTCAACTCTCAGGATGTGACGGTGTTAGTCTCCGAACATTTTAATCCCCATCCTGACGTGCCAAACCGACTTACATCCTCAGCGCTATCGATATATGATTTCGTCGGATTCCGTCTCTAAAGAGAGTCTGAGCGGCCAGTAGTTCCAGGGCAATACAGGCAGAAAGGGACATTAATGGACTATGCCACAGGTCTAGCTCGAGATGATCTCGCTCCAGAAACAACGTGCATAGTGATGAAAACAGGAAAGCGACTGCTCAACGGGAACACGGAAAGTAGAAACTACCTCACTCAGACTCGTGTTTACGCTTGAAATCCGCTGGACATTTGTTTCGGTACTTGAACGGTCATAATGAATGGTCTGGTGAGAATATGAAGGGTAGATGGTTAGTCACAGTATTCAGAAGAGTGGTATGGAAGTGTCGGGGGACACGAGCGAGTCGGGGACGGTAAAGAAATAACGAGATCTATTGATGATACTTTGATGTAAGATAACGATGTGGAGTCGGGTACAATGAGAGGTGATGATGTGATTGGAAATAATGTCGTTAGGAAGAACAGATGGTTAAAAGCACGCACAATAGGGGACATGTGTGATTGACAAAAGCCATGGAAAGAGGGAGAGATGACGATGACAATTGTTTTAAGTGGAACACCAGCAACGCGACGAAGAAAGCAGACTAGAGGGTTTCGAGTACTTGAGTGCCGCATACATATAACCGCGAGATTGATTGAAGGGATTTGTATCCTCTGGGCGCAGGATACCTGGCACAAAAGATAAAAAAGAGGAAGAAGAAAAGGCGCACCCATAACATCAATTTTGCTTCGAACTTGATGATGCCGTATCAGGAGCTAAGGCCTTCTTGAAAGCAAGGTGTTCGTGTGCGGCAATGCAGCGGTGGAAGAGAAGAGAGAGTCAGCCAACGGCTACGGTAGTGAGTGTTAACGCAAAATGTGTAAATTTGAAATATAGATAGTAGAATATAAGACGAACGGGGTGTACGGTGGGTAGTAGGCAGGAGAACGCGCCAATGGGACTGAAATCACGGAGCTTAAAACAGGGATAACAAGGATGACACGGGGGACGCACTGTTGGACGGATAAACTCAACTTATCTCGTTGAGCACGACCGTATTGTTTCCGAGCGCGAAAAGGTTCTGGGGTGTAGCACACAAGGCGGTCAAGTCGTCAGTGATTCTTATCGGCAGAGGGGAGAAGGAGGTAGAGGCAAGGAGTTGAAGCGTTCGACTTCTAAGAAACGAGAGGGGTGTTGAAGAATAGAAGTGGAGGACGGATGGCAGTAGCTGAGAGTAGAGCACTGGAATAAGAGCGCACATTTGTTCCTAATAAACGATCGTGTTGTCCTACTTAGTAGGGAGTCCTCGTCAAGATGGATATGAGATTGGCAAAACTATGAAAGGATTGTTTGTGCGGTGAAAAAGTAAAGGGGGGCCATTGACACAGCAAATGTAGAGCTGCGAGCCTGCGGTGGGTGCGAGTTGGATCGCCATGGATTAGACACTAGAGGGACGGAGGCCGACAACATCGAGAGGTTGGCTGGTGTCCGCTCACTATGCGCCTTGGAACGTGTTATTCTATATAGTCCGCAGGGGTATATGACCTCGGTACCCATTTACCGGTGCAAATCCGTGTAATCGAGCAACGGGTTATTCTGGAGTGCGGGATTGAGCTGAGTGGCGTCCTGTGGCGGGGGCCTACGATCCGTCCACCCAATGCGACACTGTGGGACACTGGCTCATCAGGAGGACGGTAGACTCATGTAGGGTGGAAGCATGGTTGTTCCCCGCGCGATTCGGCACAAGACGAGTACTCGCCTGATATTTTTGCGATCCGTATCGAAGTGTAAAGGATGATTAAGTATGGGTATGAGGATGAGGATGAGTGCGGGCACGTCTCCAGGACAGCACCATCTAATAAACATTTCACGAGGAAAGCAAGCATAAACAGACGAACCACCGAACCATCACTGCCAGACTCCCAGGCAAACTCCCAGATTTTCCTTTCGATGCTGACAAGGTACCGAGTACCAAATATCGAACGCTCAAGCACAAAGACGTAAGGCAAGAAGAAGTACAGTATATGCATATACGCATGGCGGATACACAAAGTACGAAAGACACATGAGATATTCGTCAAGGCCGAGGGCGGGGAAATACACATTTGTTAGGGCGCAGCGAGAGGTGCTTGATTCGCAGCGGGCGACTAGACGAACAAATAACGAAGAAACGCAAAGTCGAGAGGTATCGTGCGGACACCTCAGTAACAGTAACAGTTAGATTGTCGTCACCGTGATCCCGGGCACCCACAGTAGACAACAATGGCAACGAAGGGACCACTTACGGAGGACAAGTAGGAGGGCAGTAGCAAGTACGAGTCACAGAAGAGCTAGAGCTGGAATCTGCTTGATATTCAATTGCGTACAGCATGAATGGACCATAGATGAAGGACGAGCGAGGAAACGGAGAACTTTAAAGCACTAGCGAGCGGATGACGAGTAGACCCAGGATCAAAAGACAAACAGTTCGCAGAAACGACGACCAACAGTCCTGGCAAACACCCAGCTATGAGGGTCCAAGAAGTGAAGTCACCAAAAGTTAGAGATTGCGCAGTGGTCTCGTACCTAGCGCGGGGGCTAATGTCAGTCTTCCGAGGCGTGGTAGTGAAGGAGTTTGCGGTGATTCGAAACCGGAGGGAGAAATAATCTAGGCCTAGACAATCCAGGAGGGAAGGACGACGACATTACACCACTCACGAGGGAGAAGGACGAGCTCGAGGAGGGAGACGAGTAAGAGTTACGGAAGAGCTGCACCTGAGATACAAAGCGCACATTTCTGGACCTCATGATCCCGTCAAGCACCCAGCCCACGCACACAGCACAAGTAGGCCATAGAAAGAGGTCGGGCGAAGGTCGAGGAGAGCTTCCATAGGCCAGTGCGGATGACGACTCGGACGAGCTGAGTCAATAGCGTACAGTGCGTAGAGAAACGCGACCAACAAACCCGGTACGAGTCAACGCCCTTCGTGCTGAATTTCCTGACCTTACCAGCCAATTCACGACACTCTTGACCAACGGCACTCTCACGCTCGAATATATCGCCAATCGTCTCGCTGCTGAACAACAATCCATGTCCTCCTCATTATCCACACCCACAGTCCTGGCCGCGACTAGCTCGACGAATCCTTTCCAGAGGAAACCCCGTGCCGTAGAGGTCTGCACAAATAAGACGAACTGTGGCGAGACGGGCCACGGGAAGCTGAGAGTAGATGTGCTAGCTGTATCCTGCTCAGCGCGAGCATCTTCGAGGCGGGATGTGTGGTGGTCGTGGAGAGGTTCGAGCGATGTTCGTCTTCGTCGAGGAAGAGAGAAAAATCGCCCTCTCGGGCCACGGCGGAACCGGATCGGAGCTCCGGAACCTCTCCGCCACCTCAATCCAAAGCGCTCATCGCCTCGCCACATCGCGTCGTCCCAACCTCCGACCATCTTTCTTCGCCTTCGCTCGCTGCTGCTCTCCTCCCCCAAATCAATCAACACCACCACCATGCACGCCAAAACAATGCGCACACCAAACGCTCAGAGTCAGTTTGCACGACGTCCGACCCTGTTTCGATTGGCACTCGAGGCGTAGGTCGAACGCTTTGTGCATCGCCCCCTTCCTCCTCTCTGGGACCTCGCCATCTATCCTCCCATACTTTCCTGCACGCCCACCCCCAACCGAACCGCAATGTTACGAAACAACGCTAGGTCTCTCCGGCCACTTAACCCCCCGGTCCGTCCACCTCGAGCCCTTCCATCCGCCCATCGGCCTCAATGCCGCCTTCTGCGCCCCCCACGTCGGGACGCTCATCATGAAGGAGAACATATGGAGCTTTAGTGGGGACGATTTTAGTATTCAGAAGTCGGTGGGGCAGGATGTGGTGAGGTGTCATGGTCAGGCTTTTAGTTGGCGGGATCGTAAGGGTGCGTGTTTTCTCCTCTTTTGTTGCGGGGCTAGTTGATGGATGTTGTGTTTGGTATGATAGGTTCACCGCTCGCAACAAAGTGGTCGCGTTCCATAATACACAGTTGATCGACGCTACGGACGGCACTGATCTTTGTACGGTCAAGAAGAAGTTCTCTAGTGCGTTGCCCTCTCCTCTCCTCTTTCTCCGTCTTCCTCGTCCCCATTCTCCGTCTCTTCACCCTCCTTCGCACCCCCATCGACGTTTGACTGGCTGACTGACTACCACTGCCCCGAAACAGTCGGCTCCTTTCGCATGATCGGCTTCTTCGATAACCCCGCCTCCGCGAACGCGTCCTCCTCCTCGCACGACCTCATCGGGCTCGAATGTGAAGGAGACTGGTTCGATCGGTGCACTCTTTCTCTTATTTCTTCATTTATTCATTTCTTCTGCCAGCACTGCCATATCCGCCGTTCCTGCACGACCCTTCGATTTTGTTTCCGAGATATATGCACCATTCTTTGTTATTACCCCTCGCTATCGTCTTTCATCCTTCGCACCTTCATCCTTCATCCTTCATCCTTCGTAGTCTTCGTCTTTCATCCCTCTACTGCCCATTTAGCAACTCCACTAACATATCACGCATTCCCCTTCCCATCCCATCCCTCGCCCCTCGCCCCTCGCCTCTCGTCCGCAGATCCGCAATAATCACCCTCCCTGGCATCGAACGCGTCGTCGGCCAGATACACGCAAGATCTTGAATCTGACAGAGGTCATTGGGGTGCAGCAGACTGCGCATTTTCTTTCTTTGCTTTCCTTTTTTTTCTTGGGGCATTTTCGGTGGTAGGAGTTTCTTAAAGGGTCGTTTTCAGAGGGGTTGAGGTGGTTACTCCTTGCGTTTCTTTTCCCTTGAGTGCTTGGTCGTTAGGCTGGTCGGGCCTTGGTTCTGCGAATAGAACCATTTTCCGTGAAGACTACCTCCCCCGAGGCCATCTCGATGCATCGTCATTGTCATCGTCCCGATACATCGCTTTTGGTGAACGGTTAGCTGTCTCGGGCGAACGGCTATCGTCTCCAGTGATCGCCTGGCTCGCAGGCTGGTTCGTTGGTTCGTTGGTTGGCTGGTTGGCTGGCTGGTTGGGCTATGTGGGCTTGCACTCGTGTTCGCGTTTAGGCGTTCATATTCGTCTTTGGGCGGTCGTATTCGCGTTCGGGCGTTCGTTCGAGGCCTGCAGTTCGAAGCTCGAACGAAGCTCGGAGGAAGCAAGAGCATTTGCTCTATACGTTCGAGATTTTGGTCCGTGTCATACTTCGCGCGTGTGTCGATGTATAGACATCGAGCGGTTGCGACATGTAATACTTCGGGTGTTTGCCCCCTATGAGACATGGAGGCTTTGCTATGTGTATGACATCGAGCCTTTGCTCTGTAAAGACATCGAAACGTTTGTTCCTTTTCGTATTTCGAGCCTTTCCGATGTATAGGCATGGAGAACTGACTCGGTATCAGAGTTCGAGCCTTGAGCACATCATGGTCGAGCTTTTCCTCCGTGTCGCGCTTCGAGAAGATTGGCTCTTCATCGCATACACGGATACATACATACATATATGCATACATGCGACTTTTTGTCCTTGTGATAGTAAGGCCTTCGATCAGCCATCAGTCACGCCCGTCAAGTTCTTCATTCAGTTATGTCACTCGAGCTGTTCGATGGCACCCTCCATACGCACACATCTACGCATACACCCATGCATAGACTGTTCATAGCTTCCTGATGGCGTGATGATGGAGTGCATGACAGCGACGCGTCGTGGGTCCTCGTGAAAAATGGTACTTGATTACTGACGTACTTCTTTCTTCTCCCTTGATTCTATTTTTTTCGGCATCTTGTTTTTTGACATTCTTTTTCTCGTCCCAGCTCTGACTTCGCCTTCGACTGGGAGATGTCCAGCGGTTGACTCTGTGGATTAAACCGTTGCTGACGACTCCCTCTGCCTCGTTCGTTCGAATCAGCTCCGCACTGAAACCTACGTTCCTATTCTGTGAGTGTCCGTAGACACGAGCTATCTTATCTTTGCCAGCTCGTCGCACCTCTCGCCACCGATATTCCCCCTCCGATGATCCCACCTTGGCTAGCCTACTGAAGCCGTCATATAACTCTGTGAGTTTCACGCTTCAGCGTCACCTTCGTGCTTCCTCGATGCTTTACGAGATCAATTTCGCAGGGTGTTGTGAGGTCTTTGGAAGTTACGCGGTGGTTGCCCATGAATTTAGTATTAGTCGGAGGGCTAGCGTGGTAACTTTGACGGATAGTATGGCACTCGCAATCTAATACTTGGTCAAACCATCTCCATCAAATATCAGGGTGAGGGCCGATGAGCATGATACATACACAGCTTATGCAGGCCAGCGCTGCTGAAAAAACACGATTCAGAGCATGACTATTGATTGGAAAAATGAATCCAGCTGGAGGCTCGTAGCTCGAGACCGAGCAGAGACATATACTTGAGATGCCTAGGAGCTCGAGGATGTACAGTCCCGACGGATAGGAATGAAATAGCAGCGAGCGTGACGATGGCCAGATGACACGAGATACAAGTATGGTGCTGGTATCGAAGTCGAGGATGGAAACGCGACGGAGTGTAAGGAGCGACAGACTGCATCGAAGACGACAATATATTTCTTAGAACACGCGGACTAGATGTCACCATTGAAGGCACTGCCTTACAAAATATAACAGACAGTATCGGCACTCAGAGCGTTGGAACGGTGCAAGTAATAGGGCTGCAAAGCAGATGGAAGAGAAAAGGTTTGTAGAGTCGTAAGGCATAAACCACGGTAATCCACGAACGGGTCGAAAAGCCATACTTCGACGAAAATATGCAGTATGAGATGTGTAGGCTCATCAAGTCGACGAGGGGAGTTCAGAAGTCCTATGGTTTACATATAAACTGGGAGTGACAGACAAGACGATAAGGGGTGTTCCGTCTTATACTAAGAAACCGAGAGATCAGAAGGCCAGGGACAAGGGACAAACTGAAGTTCCAAAGCTGCGTCCGGTGTGCTAGTATGGGCATGATCCCGAGTATGCTGCTGAGATATCGTGGTAGATTCGAGCAAGATATCGCCAAGATATCGAAAACAACTAACAGCAGATCGTCCATCAGAGGAATAACAAGGGAGCCGGGCAAAGATGCGGCTTAGATGGATAGCTTCTTCACGAGGACCCGAAATTGAACAGGGTCAGTTGCGTCCAGTACCAAGCTGATAGCTTGAGTCCTAGATAATGTAGTTACCTCAGTGACATTGATGAGAAGAGCTTGGGTGAAAGTCGATCTGACTGAGATGCGAGGCATCTCTAGCACTGAAGTTCACGAGCGAAGAACAAGTCACGAAGAGCAGAAAGAACGCAGGTTGTACGAGGGCCAGCCGTACAAGAAAGCTGACATCTCCCCAGCATCGGTATCCGCGTGGTGACTTAGAGGCGGAGGTCTGTCGTGGTGGTCAACCGTCACAGAGGCGAAGAGGGGAAGAGTAGAGAGAAGGAGAAAAAACGAACATGACGTCATCAATTGAAGAACTCACTGGCATCGCCACAATTGGCGCCACATCGTCTCGTCCTCCCTCCCTCCATCTTCTCCAATTCGTCAACCGCATCCTCTGCTACGATACTATATGAACCGAAGATAACCTCTGTTTACATCAACAGCTAGAAAACCATTGCATCCGGAGCCTTTGTCGCCACCAATCATGCCGTACCGCCCATTTTGTGCACATCTCAATCAATATCCACACCACGACAAAGCGGCGCAGTATTCAGACGGAAAGGCTAGGCTACGTGGTCGTTGTTGTTGACACTTAGGGCTGGAGCTGGTTGGATGCCGGACGTTTCACTGGAGTAGACGGATGGAGCAGTCGCCCAATCGTGCATGCGCTGCCGGCGTAGGTGAAGACGGAGGTTTGTAGGTACGCCCGCATTGTTTTTTCTACAACCTCCGTCTCGGATTCATCGAATACGCATACAGTCTCTCACCTCATCTGCATTCCGTGCTATCCGACCTCGTAGCTCCGTCACTCACCTCCCTTCTCAACCCCTATCCGCCCCTCGCCATCATGCGTAGGTTCTACTCGCCGCTCCGAGCTCCACTACTCTCGTCCTCGCTCGAACACTCGCAGGACCCGGCCTTCACCCGACTACTCCGTACTCGTACCTCCGCATCCACCTACGACACACATTGGTTGACGATCGACACTGATCAATCGCCACACAACCTCACGCTACGAAGGAAGGCCGTGATGATAGAGGTGGTATGAGGCGAAGATTCCTCAAGATGTCGGTCTGAAGGCTTGCCCGATTGTTTTCTTCCTCAATTGCTCCGCACAATACTAAACCTTCCTTGTATTCCTAGCATACATAATGCGCCCCTTCTAGCTGGACCTACTCTTGTTACTGCGCGCATCGCGAACGATGTCGATCTTCTACACGGTCCGACTATTTCTTCCTCAACACTTTCACATCAACTTCATCCTCGCCCAACCCCTGGAATATCAACACACAGGGAACTACCTGGACTGAGAGGCAGCCTTCGCAGGCGCTCTCTGGGTGATGTAACGGGGGAGGAGGCCATAGAGAAGTGGCTCGATGAAGGGTATGGCAGCAGCGTGGTACGTACGGAGGTTTCATTGCATCTAGCCAAGTAGTTTCCTTTCGGTAGATATCACAGTCCACCTTCATTGTCCAATCCTTCTGCGTTTCGTGCCGTGTGAACGGTACGAAGGTCCACATCCCTCTCATTCGGCCCCAACATTTTCGTTCTTCCTACCACCAGATCGTTGTGATCCCCAGTACTGACCAGTATTGTCGTCTCAGAGTAGCCACCACGAGATCCCTCAATCTCGAGCTCTCCATGAAATTATTAGCTCGTAAGAACACAATTTCGACGAACACCATGCCCCACACTCCACCCGGATTTATCCTTCATATCCAGAGTCGAGTCCGAAGTCGTCCTCCAGCTCGATATCTATCGCATCCACCTGTATGTCGATATCCGCGTCTGTCACATCACCCATCGTTCGCTCTCTCCAATGCCTACCGCGCGCTAAAGCTCTCCTTCACCCTCGCTATGCCACCCATGAACCATTGGCCCGAACATGTCATTCGGGTGAAGATGACCTTTACGAGCGAGGTTGGTAGTATAGCGGGACGAGAGATGCTAGAAGGTCGTTCGTTAACGCATATATTCATCGGGATGGACGACCTCAATTTTCGACCTCGGACTCAGATGTAAGTGCTTCATTGCCCTAGTCCAACCGTATGCTGGTGTCCATTACATGTTTTTGACTGTTGGCCCTCGTCTTTTCATGCAGGTCTTCGACTCTCGTGTACAGTCACGCACACTCACAGGCCACGATCGCCACCGCCACACATCTCACCTCCTTTCACCTGAGGGGAATGTTCACGTTGGACTCTATATGATCTTCGCAGTATGTTCAAATGAAACGATGGGATCATGAATTCGTGGGATGAATTTGACAGCCGTGAGGAAGATGGGTTCGTACACTGCAGGAGCTGCTGCTCGCGAGAAATTTCCGCGTCGGCGTCGAATCCCAGGTTTATTTTTATTCTGTTCACTTTGCAGCCTCCCATATTTTTGACCCGGTCAACGGAACACGGTGATTATCACGAACCGTATCCTCATTCTTCACCTCCCTCTCCCTCTCCCCTTTTTCGAATGATCTCTGCATACTTTTCCCATTTATTTTGTTCCCATACCATCGATTTCTACGTTATATTTGGACCCTTCGCTATGTTACTTGTAGGATGCCTCGGAAACAATGGGATCAAATTGTTTGATCAAATTCATACGGGTCGACTTTGATTTCGTCAGCCTTTGTTCCATTAATACTCCCTGCGGTACCACGATGTGTCAATTATTGTGCACTCCGCTTTTTGATCTTGCTTGATTTCCGACTCATTTTTCTCGTGTGCAAACTGGGGAGCCTGATGGTAAGTATGTACAGAGTGGAAGTGAGCATATATCCACCGTAAATTGTAGGAAGGCATAAGAGACGATGAGATGACTTTCCCCTCGTATCCAAACCATCAGCACGTCGTTCGTGTGGCAGACATTATACCGACAACGTATCATGTCGGAGGACCACTGAGAAATTTGTGCGGCAGAAATAGTGGATTTACGTGTGGGTACCGTAGCGTAACAACGGAGACATGCTAGGAAGAGCAGGCATAGAGTGAGGGTACACGGGATGACGGATATCTGGTTATGGATGTCCTATGGATGGTACGGAGAACAGATACTCGATCAAATGAAGACACGACCACGCAACGTACAAAGATCAGTCGATGGAGAATAGGACATGGCTATAAAGCGTGAATGCAACTAGAAAACGAGAGAAGAGGGAAAAGTCATCGGAATATTTACTCATGCAATGACATGGATGAATCTCATTCAGCGTACTGGATCACGAAGTGAATAACGCTCGAACATCCTGAAAATCAGAAAGCCAGCACGGTAAGGAAACGATGACGCTTCTAAACAATGAACCGTACCAGCACCCTTTTGTCGAAATAATACCCCCTCGCTCGAACACCACCCTAAAGCCTGATCGGATCCCCCGTATTCGCATTCCAAATCCGAATCGTGTTGTCATACGAAGCCGATGCAATGAGCTGACCATCTGGCGACCATGCGACAGACCACACGCCGCCGGTATGGCCTCCCAGAGGCTCGAAAACCTCCTTCCCCGTCTCCGCGTCCCAGACACGGACGGTCTTATCCCAAGAGCCAGAAACGATCCGCTTTCCATCAGGAGAGTATGCGACTGACTCGACCGAGTTGGTATGACCTCTCAAGGGCTCTCCCACCGCCTTCCCCGTCTTCGTATCCCAGATGCGGATGGTTTTATCGAAGGAGCCGGAGACGATGCGTGTGCCATCGGGTGAGAATGCGACGGAAGTGACAGGACTGGCATGACCACTGAATGGCTCCCCTACTGCCTTCCCCGTATTTGCATCCCAAAGACGTACTGTCCCATCATAGGAGCCAGAGACGATGTATCGCCCATCTGGCGAGTACTGTACGGACTGAACAAAATCTATATGCCCTTCGAGTGGCTTGTGAGCCTCGGACCTCGTTTCGACGTTCCATACACGGACAGTGCGATCATTAGAACCTGAAACGAGGTGTTTCCCATCCGGCGAGAATCCGACAGATCTGACCCCGCTGGTATGGCCTGGCAGTGGTTCGCCTTTCTGGTTTCCAGTCACCGCATCCCAAATCCGAACCATTCTGTCGAAAGAACCGGAGGCAATGAGCGAACCGTCCGGGGAGAATTGAACGGATTGAACGGGGTCTGTATGGCCTTCGAGTGGGCGAAGAGCCTCTGTTCCGGTCTGTACGTCCCAGACACGGATCGTGCTATCGCCAGAGCATGAGACGAGTTGTTTGCTATCGGGCGAGAATGCGACAGCGCCTACCCAAGACGTGTGGCCATAGAGGCACTCTTGATGGGTCTCGGAGATGTCAATTCTCGTGGATGTGACGATGCCGTCAATGGAGCAAGCGACAATGCTCGTACCATCCGGTGAGACGTTGACGGAGGAGACCCAATCGTCGAAAGGCTCGATTGGAAGATTAATAGGCCGACCTGTTTGAGAATCCCACAAGTGACACGTCGAATCAGTCGACCCAGAGATGATGTGCTCTCCGTCCGGGGAGAAAGCAAGCGATGTGATCCAGCCGGTGTGGCCATACAGGACTCGAACGTGGGTATCACTACTTTGCAGGTCCCATATTCGCACGGTGCAGTCGTAAGAACCAGAGACGAGCTTATGATTGTCGGTAGAGAATGCGAGGCAGATGATAGCTCCGGTATGGCCCTCCAAGCTATGAGGAGGCGTGGAAAGCTCGCGATGAGAGAGATCACAAATGCGAATGGCATTGTCGGAGGAGCCTGAAGCAAGAAGGGAACCATCTGAGGAAAACGAGAGTGCAGTGATGGATTTCGCGCGACCTGTGAAAACATGAGGCGAGTTATTATTGGGCTTCCATGACCATGGCCAGATACGCCAGATCATGACGATTCCGTCGACCGAACCAGAGGCCATGAACTTCCCATTCGGAGAGAAGGCGACTGAACCAACTGCTGCAGCATGATCTTGAAGAACTACGCTCTCTACATTGGTGCTATCACCAACATTCCAGACACGAACAGTATAATCGCAGGAGCCAGACACGACAATCTTCCCATCGGGGGAGAATGCGAGAGTGATGATCGCATCAGTGTGCCCGTTGAGCATCTGTATGGCCTTGAGCGGCCTTTGGTCCGGTGACACCTCGCAGAGATCAATCGTGTCACCCAGAGATCTGACGACTGCAGCATGCCTATGGTTGGGCATGTATGCGATGGAAGAAACCGTGTTGCGTTGATCTGATCACCAAGTGAATATATTTCTCAGTCATTGGACACAAAGAATAGCGAGCATGAGATAAACGCACATTTCGGATTTTGCTTTTGGACCCACTCCTCCGTGATGCACCATATATGATTGCGAGCATCAATGGGCAGTACACTGTCGTTCACATTCAGTGGAAAATATTTAAAGAAGTCGGTAGAGTCTCGCAGAGCTCGTGCACCATCAACTAATGTACCTAGTCAGTTTATACATAAGATTGGGTTGAGGAGAGCAGACGCACCGGATGACGCCAGGAATACAAACTGTCTAAGAAGAGAGGGGGTATCGAAAGGCCTAGCTGCTCGAATGCCATGGACCAGTTCAGAAGCAAGGTCATTCAGATCACGTTCTACGAGTGCGGGCAGGGTTGCAGACCCCGCAGCAGTGTAGAAATCACCCCACGTCCGGAGGTCATCCTGACCCAAGCGTTTCAGAGAGGCCTTGGGAACATAATTCTTGGTTGAAGAGTCGTTCTTCCGGAGGGCCAAAGTGACCCGTTTCCAAAACGACTGGGGTGATCGAGAACCATCGACAGCCTCCTCCCGTTTGTTCGAGTCATGCAAGAGAGAGCTATGGATCATTTGGCCCTCGTGTATATGGCGCGGCATCCCTTGGTGTGGACTAGTAAGAGTGATGCGGTCAATCGCTACTGATATCGTATGAGTAGCAACAGAATAAGACTAACCGCATCGTTGAATTCTTCGCACCATGATAAGTCAGTCTTACCCAAGGCACCATCTCAAACGGCCACCATGACCGTGTCAGAGATTCGTGGATCGTGATTGGCGCTGCGAAATCCCACTTCCCTGTGACAGGCTGCACCCGAAGCCCAGCGGCAGTAGCTTGATAGGACATCCACCTCAAGGATGGTGCGCTAAGATCCATGTTTACGTTTGGAACGTTGCCACCGCCACTGTAGAAAGCATTGGTTCAAGTCAGACGAAGCGGCACGTAGAAAACTCACATATCTGAATGAGTGCCTGCAAACCAGACCTCTTTTGTATGCGCCAAGATATTAGAGTGGTCTCTGCTTTTGAGCTCTCGTCTTCTTTCGTCTTCGTCGGTAGGTAGCGAGCAACCCTCATAGGCGTATTCAGGGAGGAACTTGACTCGTCGTTCATCTAACGCCAAAGCGTGACGGAAGAAATTGGCGTGCTTCATTCCTTCCGTCGTTCCGGGAAGAGTCTTGTCACGAATAACCCCCACAGATGATACGGTGTCCCTGACAGTATTGTCAGTCAGCGTGCATATGGAAAGATCTAGCCGAATGATATACATACCATGCTCCTACGAAATGTACTTTGACCTCTCGGGAAAAAGTCTCCTTGAATCGCTCCGCCATGTATGACGGATTTTCGAGAGTTCGTTCATTTCTTGGCTACAATAAACATGGTGTTAGCGTGACCCAAAAAGTGGAAAGGAATAGAGGAGTATGAAACAAACTGTTTTAGCATTGGTGGGACTGGGGCCGTCACTCTATGAAGCATCAAGTAGGATATATAAGCCCTTGTATAACAAACTGGCAGATGCAACAAACCGTAACAATATCCGCGTTGCTTTCTGGCATGGCTCCAGAATCATTATTCTCTTGAGGCTTAGAAAGAGCCGGCATCATGTTAACGCAACGTTCCAGAGTCAGAGTATATCTTAAATCCTGACCTTCTCAACATTAGTAACAGATCCATGCAAACTAGCGGACAGAAGATGAGCATAGTACATACATATGTGAGTAACCGTGAGATGAAGATTTGATAAAGGAAACTCACAACGACGGCCAATCGAACTTGAAGGCGTTACGAAAGCGTTTCTTGAGCCCTTTCCCATCTTGCGCCTTCGTGAGCGTATGAGTTCCGTAAGTATAGCGGAACTGGAGCAGCAATAATGAAACACGGCACCTTTCCCGTAGACGCATACAATTGGTATGCACTTCATAAAAGAAACGTCAGTGGGAGACCTACAAGTACAGTCCCAGATACTGGCTTACAATGCAATCTGCGCTTCGTTTCCGCGGTGTATCAAGCCAACCTTTGTAGAGATCGTCAGCTTTTGATTACATCGGGAATGAACAACCGTACATACCGTATGGATCATAGCAGACAGGCAGCGCACTTGATACGCGCCACGAGAGAACCCTTGGTGCGAGGAGACTCTGAGCTGTCATCAGGATACATGCAACTGTTACACGCACCAAATAAAAATATCTTGTCCCCGTCGCGATATTGTTCTGAAAGCCATTGATATGCGATCTGCACGATCCTCTCGAAGTTCCTGAGCATGCCGAGGTTAGCGTTGGACATGATGCTGAAGGGAACTGAGACAACGCACCACGCAATGGCAAGATCAAGCTTATGGTATAGCTGCTGCCTTCGATATGCCAACGACTTCCATGACGGTGTCGCATATGTTCCGATACCGCTATTGTAGAACGTGATTTGATTCTCGTCTTTGGCTAGAAGACGATAGAGTTCGATGACATTCGTATTCTTTGGAAATAATGATATGAGAATCGGTGTAGCGTGGAGCAATGTGACGCACCTTAAGGCCAAACTGGTTTGAGGTTCCATCAATACAGACTACGAGATTTCTTGGGTCGATTTTCTGAGGTTTACCCATAGCTTCATCAACAGCGACCTTGACTTTCTCCTCCATCCTGATCTTTGCTTCATCCTGGGCAGTAGTCAGCTCATCGATTTTGTTCTTTGCTTGCTCCAGAGAGGCAGTCATTTTCTCTACTGCGGCTTGCAGCTGAGCGATATCGTTCCTTTCCTCTCGCCCATCTCCTGCTGCTTCCGTGCTTGTCGTCGCTCGTTTGGTAGATACGACAGCTTCACCGTCGGCGCCTGTGTTCTGCGATTCCATTGCAGATGTGCTCTGCTCGCCGTTGGTGACCTGAGCTTGCTCCATGCGATAGGCTTTGGGGCGAGAAGGGATTAGAAGGGTTTGTGGAGGAGATCAACTGGTACCAAGGTACAGTCCGTGCAGTAAAGGAGTGGTCGATGCAGGTACGCAGCGAGGGAAGACGTCGCGTGGCTGTCGATTTTAGGGTCTGTGGGAACATTTCTAGCTTTTCCCCCCTCACAATCACCGACATACGCCCAAATGTGCTAAAATAAGTCAAATGGACCGGGCACTCGCTGCCTGAGCTATGTTTGCACCAGAAAAGAAGAGGTAAGGCCGCAGCAAGGTTGTGTGGTGTAGGGCACGACGGGAACGAGGCGATCCGGCTCTCTGGTGATCCTATTTCGACGAGGTAGTGTTCTCACAGAAAGAGTGGACAAAAGCCACCTGATTCGTCACCCAGATACCAGATGACCTGTTCTTCAACACCATCCATTATATCAAGGAGCTTAAACATGAGATACATAGATGCGGGTCGAGGAGTACCGCGTATTGTCAACATTTCACGAAGGCGACCAACAGCGACGACGTTGCGTGTTAGTCCAAGAGAGCCTCCGAGTAACACGCCATGAAAGACACCCGATAAGACCATGCATAGCCTTCAGTTCCGGGCACGATCATCAAAGGGTTCTGCTACTGGTCTTTTGTTGACATGTCGGGTGAAGTGTGCATCAACGTAAGTATTGAAGTTGACATCGCGGCTGGTCTGAACTTCGACCTTGAGTCGATCGAGTTGAGGTGAGGAGGCAGGGGATACATGAGGAGAAGTGCGGAAGAAGGGAAGTCATCAGCATCGAGTTCCCCACGACATACGAGATAGCGCGACAAAAATAAACGCCCACACTCAGTCATGACAGCTGATGCACGACGAAAGCACACCGTGAATACGACTATTCTGGCTTCTATGGAACGACACCATCTCCTGCAACCTCGGCCTCGGATAAGACACAATGCGTGTATGGACGACAGCGGGAAGAGAGATCTTCCACTCATCCTTTTGACCGTCATCTTTATCGTCGAATGATCAGGTCTCACATTGACTAAACCAAAAATCCAGGTCAAAGGTGCACCCGTGTATGCAAGCATGTCAACCATCAAGAAGTTCGCACGATAATAACAGACGAGCAGTCAAGCTTCGATGCAAGCGCGTAGCCATCACCGACGGCCCAAAAACCTGAACATACGCGTTCGACAATCTAGCCGCCCAGCATGCACTCGAAGTCCCCGTCCCTCTTCCACAACTTTGCCTCACGGCATCGAGCAGTCCCGAGCTGCGCTCAATCCTGCCTTCCGTCTAAGTGAACCACTGATGAGCAAAAGATAAAACCTTGTTCAGGCGCCAACTCGACCCGCAGACGGAGAAGAGGGAATGATGCACGAAAAGCCGGAAGAACCTCACAAAGCGCCTAAGTACCTCTAAGCATCTTATTCTACGCCATTCGGACGACCCGTTCGGTGCCCGTGGAGGTTCGGCGTACTGATCATTACACTATAACAACGAATGGTAGATGTCAGTACGGAGCAATAAAAAAATGAGACAAGATGAAATAGACGGAGTGGGTGAGAAGGCGAAGGCATAATACGAGGGTGGCGTATCGGAGGGCGATAATACATATGTCATAGTTATTACAATAAAAAGACATGACGAAAAGAAAAGGAGAGAGTGGAATACGATAGGCGTTGCAAGTAAAGGACGGGTGGCGAAGAAAGGGAAGGTGGACTCTAGGATGACGAATACGATTAGAGCGGGGGAATACGGCCGAAGACAAAGGATATATGTGTTATGAGGTAGTAGTAAAAAGGGTTATGTGAGGAGGAGGACGACGAGCCGAACAACGAAAAAGGTGGGATGAGGGTGAAAGGGGGAGAAGAGGATGAGGAAGATTCAATGTATCGATAGACAAAAGATGCAATGGTGCATGCACGCACGGCGAGATCATGCGGTAAAACATGCAAAGAAGACGGGAAGAATGGGAGGGTCGGAGAGAATGCGTGGGACGGTTGACATTGGACTGGAGTTGTACATGATGACAAGATCGTGATATGAATGTAGAAGATGAACGAAAAGCAAAAGGGAAAATGACGCAGTAAAACGATGGTAAAATTGAGCACGCACCCATCGACCTAACGACCCTCCACATACCGTTCTAAAATGTCTTGCGGCGAAGGCGAAGCGTTTACGGAAGACAGGGTTTCGAAGGAGTCATCGCTCATGGGCTTCGAGCTAGCTGTTGAAGTAGGATGTCAGACAACGGGCGAAGAGGGGAAGTAAGATGGCCGAAGGTGAAAGGCACCAAGAATATCATGGGAACACCAAGTGACGGTGTGAGAGGAAAATGAAGGGGAGGGAGAGGACAGATGCGTAAATCGGGTTAATTGTAAGGCATGAACGTACTGAGAAAGAACAACGTAGGGAAAAAGCCCTGATAACTGCATGTCATAGAGGCCGAACCGTCCGCTCGGTGAACCGTGAGTTGTACATAGAAGGGGCGGTAATTACTGTGAGCGGTGACGAGGGTTATTATCCTTGCGTCTGTGAGGGCTGTAGTCAACAAGCAAGCGAGGTGAGTAGGATGTACTCGCTGGAGAGGAACAAGGGAGGAAACGGAACGAGGGTAATGGTTGCGCAAGTGGCCAAGGTTCAAACAGGGCGAATGATCCACAAGCAACGGAAGAGAGGTCGTGGAGGAGATGTAGACGACGAAGGATATTACAGTAGCTGAAAAGACGCGACAATACCAGCCGGTTGCGAGAGAGAAACGCACCCAACTTATCACGCAACAAAGCACCTGCTGATGACACTTTGCCGCATACCAGCCTTCTGCATTCTGGGTACGAAATCCATTAGAGATCCACCTCCTCTCCTTCACAGCCAGCTTCTCGACGAGCGAGCGGTGGAATGCAGTGCGAAGACCAAGTCCGGGATAGAATTCTAGAAAGAGTGTTCGAGAGGCGAATGGGACGAAGAAACCTTCGCGTGTAGAGGTGAGGGCGTTGGGTGACTGGGCGAACCATGCGGTAATGGTGTGTCCGTGGAGGGAAAGGGTCGAGCTCGGTGTTGTAGATGAAACATTTTCGTGGTTTTGCCATGCGTTGGGAGGCGAGCGAGAGGAAGAGATGAAGTTGGACAACGTCGTCGACTGTGGCGTGCAGGGAATTGATGTGGCGGAGTCGGTGGACTTCGGACCTCGCACCGGGATAGTCCGGCGGTTTGTTTTCTCGAGCTCTCTCTCCCCTCCTTCCTTGTCAACGACGACTGTAACGGTCGCATCCTCTCCACGACCACGACTGACATCATCTCCACTCTTTCATATAGAGGAAGATGTTGTGTGCATACGCGACCTCGCTTTCAACTCAACTACTGTCCTGTGGACTGCCGTGCTTGCTTCGCATCTGATTGAACATTATTTGCTCGTTGTTGCTGCTTGATTATGACCATCTCTGGTACTGGACGATTGCAGTCAGGGTGTGTCGTAAAAATCGCTTAAATCCATCTTTTCGTGCACTATATCAATGTTTCTCGCGGTATTCAAAGTGTCTGGCGCCGTTCGGTATCACGATCTTCATTTTCCACGGTCATCAGGACACCCCCTGTCCTCGTATTACTGTCGCCAGTACTGTCTCTTCATACCTCATTCCTCTCGAAGACAAATTAGTCTTCCCCCAATTCTAAGCGAGTCTTTTGCGGCCCACTGGAAGACCACCCTACGCCCCCTTCTATTCAACAGAGATCTTAAACCACTGACTAATCCCTGGTGATTTTTCCTCGCGAGTAATGCTTGCCCTCGCTGTATCTCTCCGAGTAGAAAATATGTTTCACAATCCCTGTCTCGGCGTGGATATAACGTTCGGTCCTGTTGACTCCGGTACTAGCTCGACCTTGCTTATCTTGGCACCATAGCCAAAGTACCATCAATATACTCTGTGTTTGCTCTCGTCTCCGCTGGCTTCAACGATTACATCTCCTGAGCCCCATTTCCACCTTATTTCCATGCTCTCCACAGAAAAGTTTCGTCTATACTGACCAGCCCGATTCTCTAGGTTTCGATGAGAAATCTTACGACGTTGACTGCCATAACCCGGTAGTTCAACCCTTCATGCACTTCCGACCCTCACACTCTGCTGATCACGCCGAAATGAATTTTGGTTTGTACTTTCAGCTCTTCTCCATCTTGAAGGTTGATAATGCGGATGGTAGCGTCGTTGTCGACTCCTTGTAAGCTATACGCCACATATCTCGAACGTCCGTTGCATTTTTTCCACGACAGACACCATGCTCTGACAATTGCACCTTGACGGTGCCGAGAATTCGACCCAGCCACGCAATCACTTTCAAACAGGCCAGTGTCATATGACGGGACGGCGAGTCTGTCTCCGGCTCTGCATTCTTTGGGTCGTTGTCCGAGGCGGCTTACAATTATGGTTTTTATTAGGAACTGTCGCGGATTGCGTGTCTGCTAATGGCATATTTTCGATAACTTGTGTACCAAATATTACTAGTACTCGCCAGGATCGATATCTGTGTCGTGCTTGCCGTCGATGCACTCTCTCGTTCGGTCTCGTTGACCTCTTCGAATACTTAGCACTCAGGCGAGGAGTCTAGTGTCTTCGGCTGTCGGTCGTTATCTAGCTCCCAGTATCAACGCTATTGAGCAGCCGCTGCTCAGCGCTTTATCTTAGCCTCCTGTGCTCTGTTATTCTCGCGTTACTTTTCCAACGCGAGTTCGAGGCTCACTGGGCGATGATGGTTATTCTTCCCATGTATGGAAGAACGCGTTAATCGAGTTCACGACGTGGATTTGTGCATCATGCGACAGCTCCACAGCTGTGCACGTAATGTCTGCAGGCTCATGGCTGGTTGATCGGATGGTACTGAAGGAACCCTGCCTAGGCTAGGGAAACCCAACGTGGTACTGAAGTCAGACATCCCGTTCTCATTACTCGCCACAGTTTCTAATCTCTGAGGAACATATTCTGTCCAAGGCTGTAGCATCACCACCGCGCGGAGTAGGGTAGGCAATGTCTGGATTCTCGATCTTGCAAAAATAAACGGCACATCCGTCTGATCCCTGCCATCGTGCACGAAGGAAAATATGCTAAATTTCTTAACGTTGATGACGATGTTTGGGTTGATCCTGAGAGAATATATCCAGAAGCACTTTCCAAATGGGCGCGTCGAGGCTTGTGCGAATGACCGAGAAGGGCCAAGGGCATCGCTGTCATCCATCGTTCTCCATCGATTGCAACACGCTGACCAGGCAGTTGATGGACGCCTCTTGCTTCTCTGGCTATGGAAAGGTCTGGCAAGGAGTCATGACCGAGCAGCATTGTAAGAGAAGCTACCACAATTTCTGAATCGATGCCTCGATGATCCAGCATGCTTGCCAAAGAAATTATTTTAATGTGTTCTATTCATAGTGAATTCCTCCTTCCTCACTCCCGCTGCACGAATCTCCACGAGTTTGACTCTTGCCAGTGACCTTCACCCTGCATCGTATCGACGAGTTATTCTCCGCAAACTCCAGACTTAGGACGGACGCACTTTCGCATCATGTCAAACAACTACGGCAGAGGTGATGCATTCGTGAAACCGACTCCGGTTACTGCACAACCTCCTATCCCAAACGGGATATACTTCATACGCACCAGCCGTCGTTCCACCAACTACGTCTATCTCTGTTGTAAGCTTACAGAAGACGACAACGACGACGAAGTCGGCATCGTGACTACTGCCAAAGAGGACTTCACGGATCCGGCTCACATGGTACGTTCCTACGTGCTTTAACTTGAACGATTTATATGAAGGGTTCTGAAGGAGTACATCCGTTTCCTTACAGTGGAATTTTACGTTTGAATGGAAGGACCGCGACTATTCCATCATTAATGTCAAGCACAAGTTTCACCTGAACATCATGCAGGAACCTGGTGGACCGGCGACGCTCATTGCTGGTCTGAAGAGGATGGACTGGTCGATCGTTCCGTCGGGAGATTCTTTCCTGTACGTCCAAAATTCCTTTTCTGGCCACTCCTGTACTTAAATCTCCGCATACTCGATGACGTACCAATGCAGCATCAGTACCGGGGACCATAAGGTTAAGGGAGCCGAAAATATTCTTCGCTTTGCCACCTGCCACGATTCCGATAAATGCGCTTCTGTATGTTTAACTCCTCACGGCTTGCTAGTTCTCTAACGGCGTCTTCTAGATCTCTCTTTACGTTCACGATCCAGTACGTCATCTCGAGTGGTTCAATACTTTGGGTCTCATCCTTGCCTACACCTATGACATCCAAAACCACAGGTGAAATACGATCATCAACACTGGATCCTCGAGCGATCTGATCACACTGGAAACGAATCGCATGATCTTTCATCGGAGCATGATCAGCTCTCGCAGTTGACGCCTGGAGCTTTTTACAGGATCGTCAATATCGAAACCGGCGAGTATATATATCGAAGAGATGCCGCGCTTAAGATGTGGGACCTAAAAGGATATGAAAGCGATAATAGCTATGCAGTGAGTGTCTCACGTATGCTACTTAGACACACGCGACGCACATATCTCACTGCATTTATGTTCAACCTACTTAGTTTCAACTCGCATTCACTCGTCACGGCGGGGTGATCCTAATGAACTTCCGTGATGTTCCAACTATGGGCGACCCCTTCTATGTCGACGAAAATGGCACCGCCACCAAACTGTACTCGGCCGTCGATCTCGCCCCGACTCGTGGACGTGACCATACATTCCAGTGAGTCGGTTAGCAAATCTTGATGCATGAACTTGCCCAATCTGACGAAAATTTCTCTAATACACCTCAAAGTATCCTCTTCCACAACAGCGGTGGCTCCGGTACCAAAGCACTCACCGATCGCGGTCCTGAGGGAGCTAGTGGAAGACTGGTATGAACACCTGTTGGCCGTCACTTTTTGCGCATTTCTTTGCATGCTGAACGCAATACTTTTGTTTGTCGATGGAAATCTTCTACGTAGACTTCGGTGGAGGCCTTTGAAAAGAGCACCCAAAATCAGATGTGGAAATTCGAGGCTATCCGTTACTAATATTGTCTTTGTATGTGTATCGTTGAGCAGTTGCTCCACCATTGGCCATGTACGAGTATCAGTTTTACTCTCACCTGTGTTATTGTTTCTTAAATGACATCAGTTTTTATCCATACGTCAATGTATTAGGCACATCGCAGAGATTCGCGATACTTATGCCGTGGAAGATTAGGGTAGGCCAACTGCCTCCAATTTAGCCATTGTAGGTCATACCAAAATGTATGGTTGAGATTGGGTTATCGCGAATAGATAATCACATCGTATTCACTACCTACTTCCCCACGCCATAACCCGACTACCCCGACTACAAAGCGATCAATGTTCTCTCTACCAACCCCGACCAATGGCAATCAATTCTTGATTCTATACCTGTTCTTGAAACGAAAACATGATCTTAAACATTATGAACTATTCCTTAGGAAGGCGCTCGGTCAAGGAAAGACAGATTAGTAGTGCAAGTAAACCAAGAACGTACCACATCAACTTATCGTAAGTTTCAGCTACATTCCCAACGGCGACAGAAGGACTATCGAGCTCATCGCCTCCGCATAATATATCCACCCGTTGCATGTCCTAGGAGCGGGCGGCGGTGTCGTTTCTGGCATGGTGCCTCCAGCGGGCGGCACGGAATTGGCGTGTGCAATAATAACACTGGTATGTCCCCCTAAGCTCTGTCTCATCGCGGCACGTATATTCTCTCTACCAACACGTACCCCCACAGGGACGATAACGTGGAAAATCGGGCTCTCCAACCACTGGCCGATGACATTCACCACACGCTGACCCGGCGCAGTCCCATATGGCCTCTGAACGTCGATGCGGATCCATCCGGAGACTTCGGACTGTCTGCGAAGAGCAGTAGGGATTGGAATGCCGAACTCTCGTTCGACTTCGCTCCTATTCGTAGCCACTCTGGCTGCAGTGCGTGCTGTGATGTGAATGGTATCCTCTTCCCATTGATTGATGACTCGATGGAAGATGGTGCGAATGATAGGAGCGAAGATAGTCAAACGTCGAGGAGATTGAGGAATATGACCATGCTTCTCTTTCCCTTTCTTCTCTCTCCCTGGGGCTCTCTTTTTCAGGAGAGACTCCTGCGCGTCAGAAACATGCGTGGCTTCCATATACTTCAAGGTCAAACGAAGAACATCATCGTCCACGATGATGCTGTCGAATCCTTCGTATCGAGCAGAGATGAGCTCCCAGCATTGTGATCTGTGTGCGTCTGTAACAGGGTAGGGTATTGGACTGGACACGCCCGCGTTCGGAGCCCCGGTGAACTGCTCTTCGAGGTGACATCCCGTGTGTTGATTGACGATATGGAAATACATCTCCCCGCAGTGACACGGAACAAGTCGCCAACGATGGTGATCCATTTTTGTATCGTCACTGCCGGCTGCAAGGCGGTACCCACCGTAATGATCGAGGACATTTCCAGACAGTTTGCTGATGATGGCGAAGACGGGTAGTTTCGAATCGTTGGCACTGACGATCTCGAAAAGCCACTGGTTGGAAAAATCATCGAGTTTGTGTTCGGCAGTGATGATGTTTCCTTCCGGCTGACTTGTCTTGGCGTATGTCAGAGATCGCCCTGTGCGTGAATTGACTAGCGCGAACGAGGGAAGACGGCCGGAAAGAACCTATGCAGGTCATGTTATCAGTAACAGTCATACCGTAAAATTGAGGACAAAATGAGTAGAAGCGAGATATGTAGACGCACTTGCACAATGACCCATTGATGGTGCAGATCTTTCGTTCCGTTGTTGGGATGTGCCTGGATCGTGGCACCCCCATCCCATTGATCCAGCGCACCATTCGTGACCGTGTTCACGATGCCAAACCCCCTCGCACCTCGATCCCTTTCCATTGCCCAGAGATTTCCATCTTCCCTTCCACCACTCTCCAAGAGTGTGACGTGTGGGGTTCCAATTCCACCTATGACGATCAAGCCAGAGGCGCGATTAACAATCGAGAAATGGTGTGGTGCGTCAGAACCAGGTAAGAAGCGCCACTGTATGGTTTTGTCCAACGTATAACGTGAGCCCCTAGACGCAGCAACCAGAGCACCATTCTGTCTGATAAACATTCCGGTATACGTGTTCTGGATGGTGGCCCAGAAAAGAGGGGGGAAAGGATAGGGTACGATTCTCCATTGCTGCGAAGCCGCCGGGTCTTGCTCTCCGAAAACTTGGATAGAACCTCCTGCCCCGATTTGGGCCATCGTGTCCGTCCGAGCATTGACAAGATTGTATCTGTTGTTGAAAACGTTGTAACCGTCAGCCATGACGAATATCGATGTGAAATCAGAAGAGCATACACGGTACTTTCGGCGTCGTAAGGAGCAGATAAGTCGTCCGTCAATCCAACCCTCTCAATATTCCAGCTCTGGCTTCGTCCACCGTTATAGGCACAGACAAGAACTAAGGTTCCGTCTGCGAGGTCACCGTCCAAAACGTCCAAGGCTTTGGTGTCATCCTCGAGGCTGCGAATGACGAAGCTCCTATCAACACCTTGAGGCTCCAGAAACCATAACTGGGCTCGCGAAGTGTTGGTCGAGGGAATCTTGTCACGGGCGACGGCGCCGTGGTTCGCATTGCTCGCGTCATATTGCAAGTACCAACCAGTTCGTACGTGCTCGAGCCAGACCACTGTCGGCAAAAAAGCAGGCTCCAGAAACCAACGTTGGTTGGGACGGCCGTGATATGGGTATGATTTGATTGGCTGCCCACGTGCGAGGATTCCTTGGTCGAGAACTGTACCGTTATGCGCATTGACAATACGATAGGTCACGTTCCTAACATGCGAGGTATTGAGCGCCTATCAAAGCATCACACAAGAGCGGCATCAGGTATTCAAAAACAAACAATAAAGCGCACCTCTCATAGTCATCGATCCATTCGATCCTCCACTGTTGGCCTCTATCGTCTTCTATCGCTTCCGCAAGGACGATTGAAGAACCGGAATCGACGTCCGGTGCCTTGAGACCCATGACGCCACCTGAACTCGCATTCCGAATCTGAAAGTGTACGCCATCGGAGAGAATCTCGAATAGCCACATCTGGCTGCGGTCGGAGAGTCTCTGACGAGGGAGTGGGGTTCTTGTTTTTCAGCGATTTTCTCAAGGTTCGAAGTGCCAAGACCAATAAACGTTCGTAACTGCTGATTGCGGATCCAGTACGTCCCCTCAGCTATTAGGAAAATATCGCGAGTCAGTGAATGCCGAAAACGATGAAGAATTCAACATAACACAGACGCCTTCTGGGGTATACGGAACGATTCGTCTGAAAACTTACGGATGGAAGGAGTACAGGACATTGACACAATGATCACGACGATGGGAAGGGCTGACAGTGTATTTTCTTTGGTGGTGGTGGAAGGGAAGTAAGCGTCCTGTAGCAGTTACGGTACGAGCTCATTAAAGAACTAACCTGATGATTGCTTTCCTTGCCATGAATGGCTGTGAGTACTCACGGAAGTGCGTCATAACTCCAGAGATTTCGAAGTTGTCTTCAAGAATCCTCTCGCATACGGCGCAAATGGACGTTCGAAGAAGGGCGACTTGAATCATGATAGCACGATGGATCACATGTAACACTGTATCCACCAATCGTGAGTTTATGAGATGAGCGAGCTAGGTCCATCCGAATTCAGATCCAGAAATCGATTGATTTTGAACGATGACGTGAAGGACGAGATAACGTGCCCGTAGATGCAGCGTAAGATTGCACAGCCTACGCAGTCTTGAAAGACTCAACCCAACCCAAAAGACGCAATGGTGAGATCGTGACCGCGACAAGTACCGGTAATTTCGAGCACGAAGGCATGGAGCGAGTAGAAAAGATAAAACAAATTACAACAAGAACTCTCACTCCGATTCAGACAAACCACGTATTCAACAGGGAACCAGAGAGAAAATCGCAGCAGCGAGGTTGTGATCAATCACAACATCCGAGCTAAAGCTAGGCCACACTGATCAATAGGAGCATCTTCAGCCGTATGATTCTCGTAGTTTTCATGCGATGGACGACGTAGAGAGAAGAGAGAAAATAAAACGGCCGAAAAATGTCTCGAACTCGCCACATGAATGTCACCCCCGCCACAATCGCCTCGTCTCCCTTTCCGCTGCGTTGCTCGCTCGCCTATCCCTTATACTCCAAACCTACCTGACTGGCATATGCACTGAGGACAAAGCTAGGACAGCAATGCCTCCGTGGGGTAATCATCACTAGAGCGCATGGTCCTGAGATAGATATAGGGCTGTAGTTTGAACGGACAATGGCCTCTCGGTTGACATTAGTATCCGTTATCGTTATGAAGCTCGTTATCAACACGTGTTACCGCCTCTCGAACCAATCAATGACACACCACCATAGTGGAACCGTCCACTAACACAACCGACACCCTCACCTCCAGACAAAAAGCGACTAAGAGTCCTTTGGACTACTCCACCCCGCAAACCGCCGTCCTCCGTCTCCGGAACGTCTTATCCGCCTCAATGAAGTCTTCTATATATAATACTCAGCGACAAGGGCACGAGGAATACAAAACAGAATCACCTACAGTGGTTGCAAACCGTGACAGACACTGAAAAAAATACATCGACGACGATGTAGAGTACGTCACGGTGATGCGTCGGCATTGGATTGAAGATGATCAATCCTCCGCCAGTAGCAGTACATACTAAGGAAATTATAGCAGGCTCAAGCGAGAATACTTCCTCTTTACAGAGTGGTGATGAAGCTCGGCAGGAATCGCGAATAACAAAGTTACCGAGCATGACTCGAGAAAAGAAGACATACACGGCCAAGCGAGAACTGTGGTAGAGCACCAAGAAAAAAGACGACTAGCAATTGTTTCAGGACGTCCTTTCCGAGAGCTACCTCAGACTGAAGCTTTGAGGAACTTGGAAAGCAGGTATCGATAATTATTAAGCGAAGGGAGCAAGGTGGAAAAGAAGAAGGTATCGCTGTCCGAACGAAGGGTACCGGAGAAGGTGACGAAGGAGAGCAGATATTGAAATCCCGCCCTTAGCAGAGCGATAAGGCCAAGGACATAGACGGTATGCAGCGAGCAGAAGGACGGATGCAAGTAATCAGAGGAGTATGTCCGGATTCCTTATTTGATCCAGGACCAAGCGCTCGCCAAAATCAGAGCGAGCTCGAGGAGGAACAACGAGGAAGTAGACTGGAGTACCCTGTCTAAAGCGAAGCAGAGTTGAGTATAACAGCACCTTTGCTTTATGGCCTTGAAGTGGGTGTGGTCGTGGTCGTGGAGAGCATACGATCGTCATCGTCGTCGAAGGAGTGAAAGGAGAGAAAAAAATGCCGACAGACGATCCCGGCGCAGGCCCAGAACACTCCCGCCACACTTGCCTTGCCACAATTTCTCTTCTTCGCGTTCACCGGCCTTCCTCTGTTTCTCTCGTAAGTCTGTCTCTTCTCGAAAGCCTGCATAGGCGACCTGCGTTTCGAAGCCAAAGCTAGGATTTTCATCCACGCTTCCTGCAGCTGGTACACCCACTTTCAGTACAGGTTCAGCATGCAGCTAGAACTTGGAGATGAGGGGCCTACCCGAAAGATGTAACGAAAGGCAGCTTCAGGAAGAACTGTGGCGGAACCCAGATATCGTCTATATCTCTGCAGTGGGTAACAAACTCTGAGCTAGACGTATGTTTTTGTTGCAGACGAGAAAGCGCTTCGAAAGCAAAAGCTAGCAAAGCATTTATGTAACCTTCGCCGTGGCTGTTTGAAGCACCGCTCGTAAGCGAAGTAGGCACTGCACGACTTGTGTACCAGCATTGGACCGTGTCTGCGAACGAATTTTTGACCGTGCTGAAGCCCAATGGGGCCCTGCGATGGGGCCGATCACCGGTATTGAGTCGCTTGGAAGGGTTGCAGATACGGTCTATTTACGAAGAGCAGATAACGATGTACGTCCATAGGATTATAGCACTAGGCCAGGGTTTGACGGATGATTGTTCAAGATTGAGACTTGCGTCATCGTCTCAATGAGTGAGCCGAGTGTACCATCGCTAGAGTGTGGTATATCCTTGGATAGACACTCAGAGTTTAGGATCATGCATGAGGTCGAAGGTGAAAGCTACGAATGTTGAACGATCAGCAATAGAGCAGATAAAAGATGAGACGGGGAAGTACTAGAGAACGGGCCATCAATGTCGACGGATATGACAGACCACTGACGGAGGCCGTGTATACCAAGCATGTCGAGGTCGTGCACAGTGTACCGGAAGAGAGACGGACACACGAGATTCCAGAGTTATGTGCGGACACAAATCGAACACTGTAAGTCTGTAACCCAGAACCGAGCTAGCCAGAATCCATCAGCGAGTTTGAGAGCTATTCGAGGGCGAACCAGTCACAAAGGAGAAGAGTAGTAAGCACCGAGATAAAGCAATGATAAGGTGGTCATTCAAAGAGCCATCGAGAGGCAGCAGTGAAGGAGCTATGGCTAGTGGTGAGGGTCAACGAAGAGGAGAAGAGGTTGAAAAAAATGGCACCGTCAGCTGATCCCGGTTCCGAGTGGGGCCGTTTCCGGACTCCCCCGCAATGTGAATTTCTTTATCGCCACAATCATGTCGCCACATTGTCGCCACACCGCATCGTCTCACAGGACCTCGTCCCACCTTCCTTTGCTCCGCCTCTCCTCCTCCAATGTAACCACACAACCTGCATACCGAAAGTAAAGCAGCACGCTCAATACATACACGAAACGCTATACATCACAGTCCACGGTGCCAAAGCTCGTTCGCACTTGCAAGAGAGTCGTAGATCAATAGGACTGTCGCGCATCGCGCCCTCTACGCCCTCTCCGTTGTCCCCTCGATGGACATCAGCCCTCATCAGCGCTGCAGAGTTTGGCATAGACCCTCTAGTTGCCTCTAACACACCATCTCCCGTCCTCTCATCTTATCTCAACGCGCAAAACGACTATGGGGCCTCTGCCATCACTCTACCCGGGCCGGTCATGATCGATGTGGCACTGATTGTGGCGATGGCAAGTCAGTCCATGAAATGATGACGTCATGTTCGTTTTTTCTACTTTTCGCTACTCTTCCTCTCATCCTCTCTGTGACGGTCGACCCCCACGACAGGCCTCCGCCTCGAAGTCTCCACAACGATACCGATGCTGTAAAGACAATGTCAACTTCTCTGTACGGCTGGCTCATTCACATCCTGCTCTCTTTCTGGTGCTTTGTGACTTATTCTGCGCTCGTGGACTTCAGTGCTAGAGATGCCTCGTATCTCAGTCGGGTCGACTTTCACGAAAGCTCTTCTCAACACTATCACTGAGGGAACTACATCTTCTGGCTTAAAGCTACCAGCTTGTTATCGGAAATGAGCGATACTAGTTAAGTTCGGGTCCTCGTGAAAAGCTATCCATCTGAGGCGCGTCCTTGCCCGGCTTTCTTCTTATCTGTCTTATGAACGATTTATTGTTGTGGGTTGTTCGTGTCTACCACGGTATCTCAGCAGAATATATCTCGGAATTGTGCCCATAACAGTGCACCGGATACAGCTTGGACGCAGCTTTGGAACTTCAGTTTGCCCCTCGTTCCTAGCCTTCCGATCTCTCGTCTTATCATCTCACTCATGAGACGGAATACCGCACATTGTCATGTCCGTCACTCTCAGCCTATACTACTTTGAATTTCCCTTGTCGCTGACTTGATGAGCCTTTACACCTCATCCTGCATGTTTTCACGGAATTATGGCGTCTCGATCCGTTCAAGGAGATTACCACAATTTCCGCCTCACGGCCCTAAACACTTTCTCCCTTCTGTTTCCTTTGCTGCTCTATTCATCGTGTCCTACAAAATGGTCTGAACCTCGGGACTGAGTTTTATATGGGGAGTCAAAGCCTTCAACGGCGGTGCCTGATCCTCGCCAGCTAAGAACCTATTGTCATTCGCGAGGCAGCCTGACGTGTTGTGTACACTCCGTCGTACATCCATCCTCGAGTTCGGTACCAGGCTATCATCCCCGCTCACTTCTACTGACTGTGTGTTTCCATCAGTCCATTGAACTCACAACATCCCCCTCGAGCTCCTAGCTTCGCTTTTATTTATGCCATGGTAGGGGGCGAGCGGTGATTGCTCGAAATTGGGACTTCCGTCCTCGCTCGCTCGCTGTTTGACGACATACAGGACTGCTTCAGACCGGTTTCTCATATGAAGTTCTAGTACAAACATGAGTCATCTCATGTTCTTCTGCTCTTAACAGTTGCTGTGGTTCTCATCATCCATAGCAGTGAATCACAACTCACACTATGTCGCCTACAACTCAAGGCAAACATTTCTTTTCACTTGACAGTCCTGATATGAAGTATCTGCGAGAGTGAGACTAGGTCGTGAAATATATCATACATCCTGTATCGGTGTCAATAGACAATAAAATCAACTTAACCTGTAAGTTCTCGATTCTTCAAACGTAATATGGAAAACAACTGGATGGTTCAAGTACACGGCGTACAGCAGGAGTCGCTACGAAATTGACAGACAACACAATGATATTTCAGCACCGACTCATCACTTCGGCCCATATTCTACCACGAGCTCGCAGCCTTGGGGAAGCTCACCCACTCGGTCATCCACAAATCTCGTAAACGTGCTCCTCGCTAACACCAAGTCACCCTCCAACTTATTATCATCATCAGCACGATCTTTAGCATCATCTATATCCATCTCAATCATGTTACGAATTACGAGCCTTCTGACGTTCTGAGCTCGAGCGAGTATTCCGAGATTCACGAAGCTGCTCTCCACAGCCCACGCTGTCCACTCGTTGATGCCGTCTTTTTCGACTTTAATATCCGTGAGGAGCGTAATTTCGTCCATCCGAGCAAGTTCATCCTGAGCTCCCGAAGGCGGCCTGCTTATTATATTCATGGCGGTGTCGGAAAGAGCTGAATAGTATAAACGGCTACTATCGGCTTCGATTAGTTTGGCATTAACGATGATTGTTTTGAGCGAGGGTACCCAGAGAGGAGCTGGAGCTACACGTAACGAATGCGGAATTTGTTAGCATATGAACGTGCTTAGAAAAAGGGGCTATAAATACGGTGAGACTCTTCCTCTGAATATTCTCCGACATCGAACTCGATGTTCTCAAGGGTGTTGCTGAATAAACACAAGAGGTTCCACAAACTTATCCCGTCTGCAGACATTGTCTCCCACGGTGGTCGTTTGATGGGGGAGATAGAGATCCGAGTTATGCCGGACAATATATGGGAAAGGGAACGTAGAGCTATAGGCGCAGAATCGTCACAGGCCAGCATCGCGACCTCGCACTGGGTGGGAACCCTAGCAGGATTATCGTGCAAAGCGGTGCAACGGTGTCCTCTAGCAGGAATGTCGTTGCAGTGGTAAATCTCTATGCTAGAGAGGTCCGTCCGTCTACGCAAAATCTCTGGGAGCGCGTCCGGTGAAAGAGAGCACCGAAGAATTGTTAGAGCAGTCAAGGACGGAAAGCCTGCCTGGAAGATAGAGATAGTACGACCCAGTTCCACCTCGGATAGGCATACAGACGTGACTTGATTCATCCGACAAATAATATCACTTGCTCCTTGGAATGTGCCCTTGAGGAACGTTCTGCCCATGGACGCCTCCTTGACATATCGGAGCGGATCATTGACGCCGATGCTCATGTCTTGCAGGTCTTGAAGGCGCTGAGAGTGATGTATATTGACTTTCTTGAAGAGTCGTGCCTGTGCGCGATCCCTCCATCGTTTTCCGACACGTGAGGCAGCTGAAAGAGTTTTGCGATCCTTTTCGTCCAGGTCGTCGATTACTTCGTCGATGATCTCTTGTGGTATGTGTGCCATTGGACTCTCTCCGGGGGTTAGCACTGTATAGGGCCTGGAATCGCATACATCAATCCAGTTATTGGAGTCAAACGCATCAGCAAGGAGGGACGTACATTGGCGAGGCAGGTCCTTCTCCGTCACCGAGCTCGCCTACTAAGTTGGCCATACTTTGACTTCGATAGTCGACAGTAGATTTCGGAGGCGTCAAACGAGGCGGGTTGAATGAACAATAAAACAGATAGGAAATTGTGGTGAATGCAAGAGAATGCTGAGCTTATGGAAAGCCGTCGAAGGTGGAGAGAAGAAAGTGGTAAGGTTTCAGTTTCGTTGCGAGCATTCGGACTCAGACACGGATGTCACGTGTGTCATGTGTCTACGCCACGCTACTGTGGCCACACAGTGGACGAGAATTTTTGGTTCACATGCTCTACGATACCAACCTGAAGATATATTTCCGTTGTTACAGATCGGGTCGCGCCACTCTTGTTACAAAAGTAACCATCGTCGAGGGCTGGGGTCCAGGGTATCCGACCCCAATACGGGCGCCACAACTTGACATAAAATTAAAATCCCGCACGAGCTGAACCTCCGTACAGCCCCTCAATCGCTGAGTCGCTCGACTCAAGCCGAGAACTTGAAGAAGAAAAATGAAGAAGAACAATCAAACAGGACCACACTTTGTTTCAAGTTATGATCTTCACCCTTGGAGACTCCCCACTCGTTCTGCATGTACTAATCGGGCTCACTGCCGTCAAAATGTAACAACTCACTATGCCCATTCTCGGAGTTGTTCGTATGTCTTCCAATACGAGTAAACGGCCACTTGTACTTCTCCGGAGGATCGCCGTATATGAGGCCCATAGGCTGACGCCGCTTCTAACAGAGCTCGGCGCAGTGAGACGTATCATCACTGCCCCGTTCCGCATTGCATTCCTTCTACTCCGTAGCGTGAAAGATTGAGAATGTATCAGTTCTGAAGTGAAACCCTTGGCGAATCAGCTGGTGCTCATGGTAAGGTGGAGCTCGGAGAATATTACTTATCGTATCGTATCCAACTCTTGCTCCTGAGTGACCATGTCTTTCCAATTAAATGTGGATGCGACGGCGATCTTGATCGACCTACTATAGTATACTTCGCCGAAGACATCCTTCGATTAAGAGCGGGTGTATGCTGGGACCAGAATCGTTTCGAGGATAATCGATGTACCAGGTGGCACGGTCTTTGTTGCTAACCGCGGTGTTGCCTTTGCTGTGCCGTAGATCTATGGCGCAAATGAGATCCGTGCTCTGGCATTGATGGTGGTTGAATATCTAGAACTTGCTGTCGCAAATTTGACGACGATGGAGTGAACTAGGAACACAAATGTTGGGATACTCATACCTTAGATAGACATGTCACATCAGATCTAGAGCGCAGCGCGTGTATATTGGGATGGTAAGTCGTATAAAAAGCAGCCACTTCCACACAGCTGAGCCTCGTCCTCTACCTTTAAAGTTACTCTCTGGACGCAAGTTCGAAGAAAGAGCATTGAGCTCTCCCTGTGAAACATCAAGTATCACGAAGCATCCCAAGTCGCGACCACAGCATACCCGTAACGGTGCTCAGAGTCTGCAGAGCTTTGGAGTTATAATCCAGGTGAGGTACGATAAAGGTGTAATGAGATGCTTTTGAAATATGCACATGTACCAAACGCTCCGTGAGTTCATATGCCACACGAGCTAGGGAAGGCACACAAAGGCAGACTTGCACGAAAGATATCCTTGGACGGTGAATGTATGCTGGGACACTTGTCCGTCGAGCAGCAGGGAGGCCTATGGAATATTTTTGATGCCTTCACAGTTTACACCCGCTCGACTTAATCCCAGAGACGAAGTGGCCAAAAACGCAGCAAGCCTGAACGCCAAAAGTTCAAATTCGGCCAGAAAGCAGCCAAGAACTTGAAGCGGAAGCCAATTTTCGAAACATAGGCGTGAGAGCAAAGATCAACATTGTGGAACGATTAAGTCAGTGACGATCCTGGTCGACGGTCTTAGATGTGAGAGGAAAAGGATCCAGTCGTTGTCGTTCAGGGAGAAGAGGCGAAGCGGCAGGATGTGAGTACCGGCATTCCCACCAAGCGCCATGTCCATTGCAAATTGGCGGACTTTGAAAGTTGCCGGGCAAGCCGCATGCCATTTCGACGCGGGCCACAGTGAGATTCACCGATTTGGCTGGGTGGCACCTATGTACGAGACCATTGCACTTCTAGGGCAAGGTACACCCCACCTGTAAATCTAATAAAATCTAGGATATTATTGTACATACATAAATTTTATTTGGTCGCGACAGAATGTTTTCACTCTCTTCGAGTGATTTGATATGAGCGTGTGGTCCGTCGTGCAGTTCGTTCACGCAGAAATTAGAAAATTCTGTCGCAACCAAATGAAAGGGAAGCATTTTAGATGATTTTATGCGTAGTTTTATGGAGTATCACTATGCTCGTTGTTGCCTTTAAATCTGCGTTCGTAGGTGACAGCCTGCAGCCACTCGGCTACGGAAGTAAGCGAGACGCGGCACAGCGGACTTTGAACCAGCCCGCAATAGGTGAGTGCCGGTACTCACAGGATGAAATCAAATCGGACCACCCGGCTCCGGGTTCGACCGAACGCGCCACATCATTTTTCACTCTCGCCACACCGCCTCGTCTTCCACGTCGATGTCTGCCTCTAACCTTGACTTGCTCGCCTCGGTGCCCCCAATGTTTCTACTCTGCCTCGAAATGCACCACAAGTGGGCGTGGGTCTAGAGAATGATTCCCAATGTACGATTTACCTCTTCTTCGCCATTCCACTGGCAGCTCTACGTACATCACAAAGCAAGACAGGTCTCCTCTGATATCCCATCTCACTTTGTTAAAGCCCTCGCATCCGCTGCTAGCCATCAATGCGGCTTCTATCGCTCTGCCTCTCGAGATACTGGCCATGACGGAGAATATGAGGAGTTGGATAGTGTACTCAGCATGCATACGGTCGAGTGAGATGGTTTTTCCTGGGGACACATTTAGTTGGGAGATATACGTGCACTTCCACCTTTCTTTCAGCAATCTTTCCCTCTTCTACTACGCATCTTTCACTCTTTCTCCCCTGAGGTGAGCACTCTGCTGCACCGCCGATCATCTGTGCGACGATCTCCTATCTCTCTCCTCGAACTGACCTTGTTCTCTGCCCACTACAGAGCTCGCAAACACCAGACGCAGCTTCATATGCTCCGAAACACAGTAATCGCTTTTCACCACAGGCAGCTTATCGAGGATATGGACGGGATTTGTCTGTAAGTCCTCCGTTTGTCTTGCACCCCTTATTCCTGTACTTTGAGCACTTTGTTCAAGCCCACTGGACTAGCGTTGTCGATTGAGGCAAGAGAGGACGCGGTTATTTGAAGGTTCGCACACGCCCGCATCCTAGACGATATTTCTGACAGCCCTCTTCAATACACACAACAGCAGTTTTATCAATCGTTTTATATCGCTGCTACTGTCCACCCTTTGGCATTTATCGCTCCTCATCCAACGTCTGTTCGGACCGGGTCAACGTCCTTCTCATCTCCCAAACGGCGGTCGGCGACCTCACCAGAGTCCTTGCTTGGGTTCCTCTGGACACATACTTAGGCCTCAGCTGCGTTGGCTGCTAATACAGACGCTCTATGGCCACTCAACATCACATTAGACGATGGACCGCCGTGGATCTGAGATGGGGTGCAAGGCTGGATATGGACCAGTTTCTGGAGACGAGATTCGCCACCTTGTGGTCGGGACCTCACCGGGCTTTGCCGTTTGTCTCAAGCATTTTCGTCCGCACCGCACGGTCAAGCCCTGCCCCCTGGAAGGCGAATTTTCTGATAATATCCGTCATCATTCGCGATACACTTCTCACGTTTTCCTGTTTCCCACACGAACCAACCTCGGATGGCTTTATCGAAGGACGCACAATCGCGCCCAAACTCTGACTTCTCATAGATGATGTCGTATGTTTTTCACATTTCGGCTCTTTCGGATTGCAAACTCCAACGTGCATGGAAGGGTATCATGCCGGTGGTGAGTTAGGCCTGCCTGCGCTTGGATCGCTGAATCCTGATGGTCTGGGGAACCTTGCGTGACCAATGATAGGAAGTCAGGAACAGACCTCGGCGTGTTCTCGACGTTCGATTGATGATGGTCTTTCTGATTGTCTTTTTTAATCTTCTATCTCAACCGTACATGAGGAATTATGGGGAGATTTTTCCCTTTTTTGTTACAGCAGAGCGCGCGATTGTTACGCTAGTGCAAGTACCGCATGACGAATGGTTCGTTTGAAGGACTCTTCTGTGCGCGGTATCAGGTCTTGATGTGTGGTACCCTCCATGGCGTTACAGCTCTCCGCGACCACTTGAGCACAGTAACATGACCAGGCTATACCCCGGTATCTTTAGTACTTGTTCTAGTGATTCGCTTGTTTGCCGTCGGAACGACTACTCTTCCTGGCTGTGAAAATCAAGGCGATAGACGCTGGCCTATAAGTGCGAAGGATGAAGTGCCTTTCCCACAACCCGTCTTCCCTTTCATCCACTTCCTGCAATCATCGGGATTGTCGTGATGTGGTTTGAGCTCACACCGTCGTTTGCTCTTCTGCTTTGTATAATCCTCTTTGTTCTTTACTCCCTTCTACAGTTTCCTTCCCGCCATGCGCTTCCACCTGGACCAAAGCCATGGCCTCTCATTGGCAACATCCTGGATATGCCTCGCAAAGATGAATCGGCGACGTTTTCTCAATGGGGGCGGACATATGGTGTGTCCTCTCATTTATCGTCAAGTAAATAGAGGATCATGCTCAACGATCGCCACTCGTGCATGGACAGGCGACATTGTCTACGTTAGACTCCTTCGTCGCCCACTTATCATTTTGAATTCTTTCGAGGCTGCGACGGAGCTCATGGAACGGCGGTACACGATCTACTCCGATAGACCTGAGTTCCCGATGATGAATCTGTGCGTATTCTCCACCAATCACTCAATATTCACCTGTAGCTAATATATCTGTCATTCCTACGGAACTCGTCAGTATAGGACATCAATGGAACCTCGGCTTCAAGCCCTTCGGAGATGAGTGGGCGACTCTGAGGAAGTTATTTACTAGCAAGTTCAGTAACGGCTCTGCCTTACGAGCTTATCAAGCATCACAAACTGCGTCAAATGCAGAACTACTGCAAAGCCTTCTGAAAGACCCGAATGGGTTCGTCGAACACATAGCGTTGTGAGTGAAATAGAAATGCTTGTTCCCTCCTTTAGATACTAACCTAACGGTTTCTTGTCGTGGTTTCCTCGGACAGACGTGCAACACAGGTCGTTATAGATGTTACATATGGCATTTCGGTCACATCGCCGAATGATCACCTCATCGTTGTTGCCGAAAGAGTCATGAACGCGGTTTCCATCGCGTTAAGCCCTCCATTATGGATCATCAACCCGGTCTCGCTCGGTTAGCTGTTCACTTCCTCGCTATCTGCTATCCACCGTTTTCATTGCTTGTGCTAACTCTCGTTGCCCCTTTTCGCTCATCGACCAGTTCGTTCTTTTATGTCATTATTCGGAGGCCTGAATTCAATCTCTATCATCCGAAAATGGAGGAGCGATCTCGAGGAGTTGCGCAATGGACCCTTCGAGGAAGCGAAACTTCAGCTTGTACGTAGATCAACTCTACGCTCTCTTTTTCCCAACTCTGATTGTATGGCCCGTTATTTCCGAAGACTAAGGGCCATCCTCGCCCATCTGTCGTCGGGAACCTTTTGCAAGATCTCGGGGAGAACGGCACCCAAGAAGCAGAGGAATTGATTCGTGATTGCGCCGCTGTGGCCTACGGAGGTATGCATGTTTAGGTACCACTCCTCGGACACTTCCAAACATGACATGAATAATATAGGTGCCGCAGAAACAGTACGTCTTATGCATTACTCAGACGTGCAATCTTTCTTACTCCTCTCCTCATCATTGACTATGTAACGGATATAGTCGACGTCGAGTAGCCTTAGCTTCATCCTCGCTATGGTCCTGAACCCATCTGCAATGAGAAAAGCACAAGACGAGCTCGACAGAGTCGTGGGAAATGATAGACTGCCTTGTTTCGAGGATCGACCAAATCTCCCGTACGTGACCGGTATGATGAAAGAGGTGCTACGGTTCCACCCACCGGGAGTCGTGGGTACGTCTCTACTTCGTTTGAGTTCCTCCTTACATGCCAATAGATAGCGATGCCAGGCGTACCACGTCAGCTCAAACAAGACGATGAGTACAAGGGCTATCATATCCCTGCGGGATCGATGGTCATGGTCAATATAGAGTGAGTTTACTGAGTCACTCTTTGCATGCTGACCGTCTAGTTGACTGACATGCTCAAATCATTACCTGGTGCTATAGTGGACTTATGAGCGACCCATCCCTCTATCCCGAGCCAGAAATGTTCATGCCTGAACGGTACATCGTGAACGGTAAGTTCGACTGCAGCCGATCGACTGACCCGTCACGCATCGCATTTGGATTTGGGCGGCGGTACGTCCATCCTCAATCACCGTTCCTACTTCGCCGTGATTGTGCTGATATGCGTCTTTCTCTAGAGTTTGTCCCGGAAAACTGTTCGCCGAAGACTCCCTCTGGATAGTCATCGCTCAAATGCTGGCCGTCTTCACGATCTCTCCCGTCGATGAGAAACACCCCCCTCCGCTGTCTTTCGAGGCCGGTGCTATCTCGTATGTCCCCACTTCACGCTATTTTCTGCCTCCTGCGGTTAGTATCAGCTGACGACGCTGTATTGGTGCACAGACGTCCATCGCCATTCCCGTGTATCATACGCCCTCGATCCGAAGCAGCCAAGCATTTAGTTGAGTCTGCGCTATGACACCTGTGAGTTCAGTTATAGCCACTCGTATAGTTCCGATTCCAAGCGTTATGTGCTCTTCGAATTCAACCAATCCTACCAGTTCAGTACCCATGTAAAATGAGAGCCTTTGAGACCGAACTTCTTCCTGCCGAATGGTACGAAATAAGCGTGAGCGTTCGTTTTCGCGTCTTCATAGACGAAGTCTCAGCGGAGGTTCGGAGAACTTCGGATCACAGGTAGCACAGCGTCCGAGTCATTTTGGTCTTGTCCGTCACTGCAGTACACCCTTCTAACTTGAGATCATCAGCACAGCGACATTCATCGCCGCATCCGATGAATGTGGCACTGTAACAGCTGCTGCCCTTCGAGGCAGCCTCGAGATCACATAAATATAGCCTGCCGCATCACGTCTCATCCGATCAATCCCCCTCTCACCATCCACCCAACCTACGCCTTGAACTTCGCTAATCGATAAGACACACAATGGGTATATTTGGAAAATCAGCGCCTTACCAAGTCATTTTGGAGCCTTTTGATCCCCTTATTGGTTTCAATGCCTCCTTCTGCAGCCCGAACATCGAGACGCTGCACATGAAGGAGAAATTTTCGAGTTTCAAAGACGTGGATATCGCGATAAAGAACGAGGCTGGACAGCAGGTGCTGACCTGCCATTGCAAGGGTGGTAGTTTCACCAATAAGAAAGGTGCGATATTGCACCCTTTCTCCCCGAGCCCGTGAGAGAAGGGATCGAGGTGATGTATGTATGTGTTTATGGAACGCTAACCTCTATGTCATTCAGAGTTTAGAGACGCGCAGGGGACGCCATTGTTCACCGTTCGGGCCATGCCAGCGAGTCAGGTGAAGCAGGGCTTTGAGGCAATGGATGGTACCCATCTTTGTACGGCCCTGAAGAAGTTCTCGAGTGCGTATATTTCAATTGTCTAGAACGTGGGGGCTGAAATATTCTCTGAATTTTTGCAGTGTCCGCTTTCCGCATGACAATCTCCCTCCAAAACCTCGTTGCTGCTGCCTCCAACGCCCAGTCTTCCGAACATTCGGGCGAGTTGGAGCTTGAATGCAAGGGAAATTGGTCTGGAACGTGAGTTTCTTATTTCTTCTTCTATATTAGTCTTGCGACTTCCGTCTTGAAGCAACTTCTTTCGTTGATTTTGGGCTTCATTGATATCGTTGTATATGCATTTAGTTCGGCAACAATCGCAGTCGCGGGGACTGACAAAGTGTTGGGACATATTACGGAATCGATGCGAGATCCGGATGGAGGAAAATATGATGGGAAAAGGACGGTGAGCTGCCTCTTTGTCTCTCGTTTATTTCCTCCTTGGTTCTGTCTTCTCTACCAAGTGGATGTCTTTATCATTTCCACGTTCTCGCACCGCCCATCTGCCCCTTTGTTCAGTGCGGCGTTCCCTATGCAATATTAATACTGACCTCTCAATCTTGTGTTGATAAATAGTACACGGTGGCAATTGCACCGGGTGTCGACTACGCCTTCATGGCTGCGCTATGCATTTGTTTTGACGAGGCGTACCATGAGAGCACAAAGTGATCACTCCAGTCCTCATTTCTGCATAGGAGTACTTAGGTGCTTTCCACCATCGGATCCCACAATCTCACGGGTACAGGCTATGTTCTCGAAGGAAAGTCGATGTCTTTGACTGAGATCTGTAGCGGTAAATGGGATATGTACACATGCACTCGCATGCTATTGAATGAAACATCCGTGAAACTTGCGATCGACCTCAGTATGCCCAACATGTCCAGAGCGTAGTGCTCTTCAAAGTTGCTGAAAGCAGCGCCATACTCGCACAAAGACGTAGCACGGACTCTCAAAACACACGTCGTCTTGCACTTGGGCGAATGATCTCGTTGTGTCGTCTCAAACTTCCACACCTCGTTCAACGACGTCCGCACCACCCTTCACCTTAACGCCCTGCTCCTTCTCCCTCGCCACAGCTTCTTCCTCCTCGATCTCTTTCTTGATTTGAAGGTCCTTCGTTTCGATCACGCATAACATCAGCACCAATCGACACTCCCAAAAAGGAAAGGAACAAATCGTACCGTACAAGGCGCAAATCGACTCCCCTGCCTGATCCTCGCTCCGTACTTGAAGAACAGAAACGGAATGGGGGCGAGTAGGAGGGCGATACCGGCGATGAGGGTGGATGACCAGTTGATGCCGAGCTACGAAACAGACGGTTCGGTTAAGAACTGAGGAGGAAGAACAGGAAGGAGAGGGGAGGGAGGTGTCACGCACTTTGTGATACATTTGGACAGTGAAGAGCGGGAATGCGGCGCCGACAGCGGAACGAATGATGGTATTTGCAGCGAATGCGGAGGCGGCATACATCATATACGTGTCGATGAGGTAGCTCTGATGAAAAGAAGAGGTTAAAACTGATTTGCGGGTTTCCCAACTGGGATAAGGGGCAAAAGAACGCACCAAAAACGAAATGAAAATCAAAATAATCCCCGCCCCGATCAACACCCCACTCAACGCCGGCACATACCACGGTACACTCTCATACTGCCCCGACCACCCCAGCCACAAACTGCCCACAACCAAACTCGGACCCGCAATCATCGCTCCATAGAGGCGTTTCTCGGGCGGCGGGTAACCGCGGTAGTGCGTCATGTAGTAGGGGTAGTGGTTGAGGAGAAGTTGGTTGGTGAGGGCGCCGAGGGTGGCGCCGATTGCGAGGCTGAGGAAAATGAGGCCGTTTTGGGAGATGGAGAGGTTGTGGCGTTCGATGAAGATGATGGGGAAGGCTTCGAAGACTGTGCGCAACGAAGTGAGTACGACGACGATTGATTGGGACGCCGGGTGAGGGGTACGTACGTCCGTAAAGCACGCCGTAGATTGCACTCAAATAGATCGTCACCAATAGCAGAATAGGTTCGCTGGCGAGCATGACGAATGGCCTGTAGAGCGTCCTGTGTAGCAGTGGCTTGAGAGTCCAATCTTGCCTTTCGGATTCAGCGTAGAGGGACTTGTTGGAGGGTGATGCTTTACGAAGACGTTTGGCCTGGAGAAATCATGAGCGACGGGGAAGACTGTGGTTGGACGGACGGAAAATAACGTACCTTGGCATGGAGGATTGCTGGCGCGTACGTTTCGGGCATGCACAACGCCGCGAGTATGGTGACGGCTCCCGCGAAAATCATCATCACCCAAAAGACCCACCGCCAACCTAGAGAGCTCTCCACGATACTATCCAACCACCAACGTCAATCCTCAACCATGCATTCTGAAAGAGAGACACTCACAATCCCGCCACTAGAGGCCCCAAACTCGGACCTAGGAATAAAACCGCCGTAAACGCCCCTGTCGCAGGTCCTCTCCCCACCGGATCCCACATATCGGCCAGTAATCCTCCACCGTTCGTTAACGGACTGCAGGCAAAGAACCCCCCGAGAAAGCGGGTGACGAGGAGTGTGGCCATGTTGTGAGCCAGAGCCTGCCCGAGGAAGAGGAGGGTGTAACAGGTGAGAGGGACGATGTAGATGGGTTTGCGACCGAAGAGTTCGGAGCCTGGGCCCCAGAAGATGGGACCGAAGCAGTAGCCACTATGGTAGGTAGGTTAAGGAAGAAAAACGGGGGTAACAGGAGGGACATACAGTAGGAAAACAGATGTGACGAGATACGAGACTTCGGCGGAGGAATTGAACTCTTCCGCGATAAAACTCGCAGCCGTGGACGGTGCAGACGATGCAAATGTACTTTTAGATAACGCACATTGGTATCAGTGCTACGAATCCGTTGACTATGGAGACAGGGACGTACACGTTGAAGGTGATAATCGCGCATATACCCGTGACGAAGCACTTATACGTCTTACTCCAGTTCTGCGGATTCTCAGGATCGTCTGGACCATCCCATCCCACCAGATTCGGATCCTTTTCCTTCTCCTCCTCCCACCCGGCTCCACATTCGGTCTGCTCCTCCTCGACACAAACTCTCTCTTCCGTCGCGCGATCACTACCCTTCCGGTTTTTAGACACGTTCCATTCCTCCTCTTCAGGGTCCCTTGGATCGTCCCCTCCATATCGTTCCATCTCCCTCTCCGGAGCTTCTTCAACTTCTCCAGATCGACGAGCAGTCTCTTCGATTAGGGTTGCTGAATCCCGATCGTTGTCGTTGTCTCTGTGGAAACGCGTGCGCGATGAAGACGAGGATGGTCTCGGCTCCGGAGTGGAGGTCGTTTGAAGCGTGTTAGGCGAAGACTCTGGTGGGAAAGTGGCATCGGATGAAGTGAGAAAGGCGGGGCTGTGATGGGACGGGTCGGTCGCACTGGGACTGCGATGAATAACCATCATAAAGGGATGCTACGAATGGTGAATATGAGCAAAGAGGGGTAACGCAGACGAATGCAGTAGAGAGAGGGCAAAAGAATATACGGAAGTTGTTACCTTTTATCTCGAGCTTGAGCCTGATGGTTTAAGACATGACCTCAGAAGAGACCGGAGGCATATCACAGACCCACATCGCCGACTACTTCAGGCTGTAAATCCGGGATCGACGCGGAGATCCAGTAGACGGTGACACAGCCGATGGGAGGGATCGAACAAGGAACTCTCGTCAGCATATTGAGCGATGACGATGAGACACGGGGATCTAATGATTGTCGTCCGCAAATCGTCCGAGACAAGATGAGTATGTGGGTCGAGCACATCGGATACATTGCCAGAAGCTTTACGCACAGTGTGGCATGTTCACAAACCAGCGGATGAGTAGTGTTGTGCAAAAGACGTTGTGACGCTGCAATCAGAAATGAAGAGTTTGGCCTGAAAGATGAGGATAAGTAGTGGCGTTGCTGGCTAAAAAGTACTGATGACGGATGAACACCATCGCGTTCAGAACTAATGCAAAGGGACATCTATGTTGAAAGTCTCTTGGAGAGGGAAAAGAGGGGAACAGTACGGAGAGAGAGGCATCGCAAACGGCACAAAGACGGACGGTTCGAAATGAACCCCATGTTCGGGTTAAGGTTTGAGTTCTTCCACAGTCCGGTGATGGGCGCCTAGTCGACTTCCTTTCGCTCCTACGCTCATTATGAGTGCGTAGTCCACGCTTTGACCTAGAGGCTTGAGCTTGAATGGTAGCTAGACGGACTGACACCCAATAATACGGCCATCCTTCACCGCCTATCTATAAGCTAAGGTAGTGAGTAGTACCATTCCGACTTCTTGCCCCTCGGTATTCGAGTCACAAGATTTACACTCTCTGGTGCCGCATCGCTCTGTAGTGTCAACGAGCCAAAAACAATACAGTCGTTCACACTTCTATCTCCAGGGTTCAAAAGAATACAGATAATGGCACAGAGCCGCCGGTCCTGTGGTCGGGGTTATAGGTGTATATGAGATCGGTATGTTTGAGATTTTTGCGCGAGCTCGGTTATCTTTGACGTCCGGAATGAACAGAATAGGGCAGTTCGGGGAGCTCGTATGCTACTGTATTGAAGAAAGGACATGTTGCAGTATGAGTGCGACGTCATATGTCTCGAAGAACAACTATCAGAAGTATGCTTCCATTCACTTGATTGGGCGCGATGGAGACCAACATTTACGCTGCGGTATGCAATATTCCTCTCTGACCGACCTGCCCACTTTGCGTATCTCTGGATAACATGGTATAACACATGCTCACCGGACTATGACGAGGACGTGCCGCGGGACTAGTAAGGACCAGATGTGCTACGATGGGGCCAGAAATTCCTCACTCCAATGGCGAGTTCACAGGATATATATTTATATCGCGCTTCAGGACAAGCAGCCTGAATGATACCATCGAGCACCCGCGTTTGCACCAAAACGTATTGCACGTGAACTTATGTACAGTGGTGGGCCCGATGTCAACGGTGGCGTCTCTCATTGCGCAATTGTGCTCTAGGGAGTGCACCTTTTCTTTCCGCTCTCATTCGATGTTATTATCGTTCTTACCATGATAAAGATGCTATCCCAAGGTCCACTTCGTGCACGGCCCCTGCACGTCTGATTCTTCTCGCCCAGTCATGACCACGGCTTTACCGACCCTTCCGCGCGCGTCTCTAACCACGAACAGCTTCGAGGAGAAAGAGAATGGCGACCTACCTATCCAATCCCCATCTAATGACTATATACCTCCTCTCGGACAGCCATTGGACGATGGTACCGATCGGGTATTCCAGGGCGTTACGAACCGGTGGCTCGACGAAATCGCTACTCAGCCTTCGGTGTTCGACGACCCTTTGACCCTTGAGGTTTACCGCCCTCCGCCGCAGTACGAGAATGCGCATCGTTTCGACCCTCTCGCTCGATGGACTTGGCGGGAGGAAAAGGTGCGTTCGTTCGTCGTCGCGTTTTCATCTCTCTTCGATACCAATCTATTACTTCAGGCCATCGTTCGGAAGATCGACTGGAGAGTCATGGCTTGGGCGTTTGTGATGTTTGCCTCTCTGGATCTGGATCGGTCGAACATATCGCAAGCGAACAGCGACAACCTTCTCGGGGACTTAGGCATGACGACCAACGACTATAATATCGGGTTCATGCTCTTCCGATTAGCATTCTTCTGGTGCGTCTGACCACTAGTGAAACTCGTATAATATCTTGATGCCTTAACACAGCGCTGAACTCCCGTCGCAATTGATTTCGAAGAGGGTTGGTCCGGACGTTTGGATCCCTACGCAGGTCTGTTGACTTGTCTGTCTTACATTGCACCCCTAATCTAACGTACCTTTAAGATGGTACTATGGAGCATCGTATCCTGTAGTCAGTTCTGGATCACAGGAAAGAGCACCTTCCTAGCGACACGGTAAGCATGCAGTCTCCTTACGGTCATATTACACGCTTATAGTACTGCTAGGGCTCTACTCGGCCTACTTCAAGGCGGCTTCATCCCAGACGTCGTTCTCTACCTCTCGTACTTCTACACCAAAAGGGAGCGTAAGTGCATCCGCTCCCGTCCCATGTTCAATGACGTGCGAACGAGCCTTATTGCGCTATTTATGTAGTCCCGATGCGTCTCGCTTTCTTCTGGGTGTCGAACTATCTTGCGGAGATAGTGGGCGCGTTTATGGCGACCGGGATCCTCCAATTGCGCGGGTTGCATGGGAAGTCCGGATGGAGATATCTATTCTTGATTGAGGGCCTCATTACGCTTATTATCGGCGTCGCATCGTTCTTCATGATGCCTCCTGGTCCCACTCAGACTAGGACATGGTACAGGCCTAACGGTTGGTTTACTGAGAGGTACGTTCGACTCTTTTTGTCGAGTTGATTTCTACTTATTCCATCCCTACGAGCAACAGAGAGGAGATAATCGTGGTCAATAGGTCGGTACTACTCCACTTTTCTGTCGAATCGGATCTCCTTAGCGCTATACTCACAAAGCTACGCAGGGTCCTACGAGACGATCCAACGAAATCGGATATGCATAACCGCCAAGGACTCTCGATGAAGATGATATTCTGGTCATTGTGCGATTGGCAATTGTGGCCCCTATATATCTTAGGCCTCACTTTCGGGAGTACGTGACCCTCAGCCCATGGATGTCGTCGATTACTGACCGAAAGAAATATTTCGACCCTCACCATCGCTAGTCCCCACCAGTCCTCCTCAGCAATATATGACCCTCACGCTGAAGAATCTCGGTTTCACGACCATCCAAACCAATCTCCTCACGATCCCCGCGAGCGTCCTCGGCGTCATCGGGATGCTCACCGTCACTTTCGTCAGCGAGCGAATGAACAGTCGCGTCATCCCCACAGTCTTCCAGCAGATATGGGTCCTACCACTCGTCATCTCCCTGGAATCCTTCACGTCACAGACGTCGCAGTGGGTCTACTACGCCGTCGTTTTCCTCGTGGTCGGATATCCGTATGCGCATCCGGTGCAGGTCGCGTGGGCGTCGAGGAACTCGTATAGTGTGAGGACGAGGACAGTTTCTGCGTCGGCGTATAATATGTTCGTGCAGCTTAGCTCTGTTATCTCTGTAAGCTGTGTTCCTTCCTTCCACGATGATGAGCAACGCTGACGGATGTCGACACACAGTCCAATATATACCGCGCCGATGACAAACCTCTCTGTATGTCTATCTTTTTTTTCTTCTGATATACGCCGTGACCTCTTCTGATTCAACGTCCGTCATGCAGACAAGCGTGGAAATCTCGTGTTGATCGTTGTCTGTGGTCAGTTTCTTGCTCTTATTTGCTTTTCTTCCCCGCGACATTGAACATATATGTCTATAGTCTTCAACATCTGCTTCTACGCCTTCACATTCTTCTTCTATCGCACCATAAATCGGCGAAGAGATGCCATCTGGGCTTCAATGACACCAGAGGTTCGTCTCCATGCTTTATTTGGGTTCTCTACCTACCGCTAATTGAACGCCACAACGCGTAATCTAGGAGCAAGCGGATTACGTCGAGAACACGAAGGACGAGGGTAATAAGCGCCTAGACTTTCGCTTCGCTTACTAGATACAAACTGCAGTGTTGCTTGAGGAAGACACAGTATATGTACGGGATGTATGGGTCGGTTTGTGTGTTGTGCTGGCGTATAAAGGACACAGAAACAGACAAGAGAAATAATATCATATTCGGAGGTCTGATAATGGCTGACCGGACGAAGGAGTGAGGACACCAACGAATCTCTAAGATACTCATCTCGATATCGTCGGCCCAAAACAAGTTTCATCGACGAATGGATGGTCACTATCGTTCTATCGAGATCAAGTCGACCCCGTCGATCCACTCGTCGAACACCTCGTCGAGGCCTACACAAAGTACATCCGTGATAAATATGTTGGCGTCTAGTGCGATACTCACCGCGTGCTAATGGGCCGACGTGTCGTAGTTGGCGACATGGCCGGAGGGGATACAGACGTGGGCATTGAAGCTGGTATTGGCCTCTTCAGAGGCGTTTGCACGGGGGGGTTAGGCAAGAAAGGAGAAGGTAGTCGAAGTGATGGGAAGGCCGCGGCGGAGGATTAATGCAGGCGAAGGCGGACAGCGGTGTAGGAGTTGGTTCCGACGACGAACGAGGCTGAAGAACAGCGCTAAGAAAGAAGGAAAGTAAATTAGTGTCAGGGTAACATCACATTCACAAAATGCTCGAGAATTTGACATAAAAGGATGCAACACATCGCGCCATGCCAGCCCACACGGCACTATGCCCGTCACGGCCAACTTCACACTTGTCTGGTAGTAATCAACACCACCAAAGTGGTGCACGCCGCTTGGCTAGTACTACGAACACGCTGCCTAGCTCATAATTTCCTGAGCAGAGCCGCACGGAAGCCTAGCTAGTATCAGACGCAGCCCTGACCCATCCCTGCCAAAACATGCATGTATGCATGGCATCCATCGAGGACAACGCACTTCGAGCCTGTTCCGTGACGATGCGGTGTGAATCCACAGCACACACGAACAAGAAGAAGGAAACGTGAACGAGGAACGACACAAAGCACAAAACTAGCCTCAAAGCCAACCACTTCAACCTCCAAGGAAACAACGAAGCCAGAGAAAAGGAAAAACCCCGAAAAGCGGTTTTTTGAAGGACGCACATTCTACTATTCCTAATCATCTCCGAGATTCACTACCTTCCTCTAGATCTGGCTCACGATGCGTTCTGTGCCTCTATCGCTGATCAGTGTAGCCTAGCGATTGAGGGTGGGTAGAGGGAGGGATGTAAGTTCGAGGATGAGAGAGTGTGATCTAGAGTGCAAGAGGGAGGGAAGGATAAGTAGTATTGAAAAGAAAGGGGGCACATGATAAAGAACGCACCGTTCGAGGAAATACCCTGAGCTGTATGAAGAGGAGAAAACGTCAGCGGAGAGGGTTTGTGGAAGGAGGCGATCATACGTGAGGCGCCGGCTGTGTGGGAGGCGTATAGGAAGGCCGAGAGGGCGAGGAATAAGATGGGAGAGCATATTTAGGGATGGATGAAAAGCGAAGAGAAAGAGTAAAGGCGAAGGAAGGAAGATCAACGCACTCGAGAATTGATTCTTCACCGCACACATATCCGCCCCATCCATGGATCCATCACTTCGATGAGCAGCGTCTTGTGGAGCGCGAGGGTGTTGATGCGAATGGTGAAGAGCGAGTGATCGTTTCTCTCGAACTCTGCATTCAGTAAATATTCAGTTCCGGCCACAGCCAGCTTTGGCCGAGGTGCAACGTCTTGAGGCCTGAGGGTCCATAACGTTTTGCTACGATATGTATACCGTTTCGGCACATAGATGTGGGTGAAAGGGGGGAATCAAAGAAGAAAGATGAGGACGAGGCAATGTGGCAAAGCGACTGTGGCGACAAAGAAATTGTTGTGGCGTCCGTTCGGGAGCATTCGGAGAATCCGATCCGGACCCGTAATAATCCGACGCAGGAGTTTGTTTGCGGTCAGTACAGTATCTTCACCACGACGACAACCACAACGATCTCGCAACCACACGTCAGAAATATCTCACTTTTAAAGATGGACTAGATCATGCTTTACTTATTTGCTTGTCTCTTCCAATGGTGCTCAAGCTTGCTCGGGTCTGGCTAGCTCGTTTCCGGGTCTGGGTTGAATAAGTGATTGGAATCTTCGTAACGCCTCCAAATCTCTCGAATCCCTCCATCTGCACATTATGCACCCCCAAAAAAATCGGAGATTTTCTGGCTTCCCCATTTCGAGACTCGGAAAACCCTACGAAACCCTGCCATAACCTCGCTTTGGCATTCGGGCGACATCATTAGGGCACATCACTTCGGGCTGGGATCAGTCACCCTCTGCGGACAGAATCGACTTCCGACTTTCACACATACCGTTTGATTGATACTGTGAGATGCTTTTTACGTCACAAAGTGATCATCGAATGTTATTTCTCTAGGACTCCATATACGGTATCGCTTGGTCGCAGATTGAGCTCATTCATGATCCTCTCGATCGCTGTCTTCCGTGTATTTTTTGGTCTCAGTGTCAACCGTACCATCATCATGTCGTGGGCGCCAATGGTCTCTAATCATTGTGTCCGCTCTTTGCTGAAGAAGGAGGTATGCTGACTTCCAAGCACTTCAGACTTTTGATCCTTGGATCTTCTCTTCGCGTCAATCGGTGCTTCATTTAGTCGTATGTCGGGCTGACTCTGGCTATCACCTGGACATAGCAAGCATTATTATTTTGGTTGTTGTTGACGCGGTATCGGCGTGCGTTTACTCGCCTTAGGACCACTGTCAATACACGTCGAACTCAATATAATTTCTGATATGACTCTGACGGGTTCTCGCACAAAGTACACAAACGACGGTATGGCCATTCAGTGTCTACCGTACGCACACAAAGGAGCCTTCACATAACCGTTCAGTCCTCTCTTCATCGTACTGAAGAATTGGAGTCGAGGTCGACAACGTCCCAGCACTCCCTAGACGGGGTACATCACACAATTTCGAGCCAAATCTGCATGTCTATCTGCACTCGGAGTCTGATATGCAGTTTTTCGCCGATCTGATGATCGAACTTGGCACACTTTCGAATGCTGAGTTCAGCGGCAACGCGTCTGATCTAGTACACAGTTTTATGTGATTGCATTGTGGTCGAAAATACAAAGTGCAAACAACTACACGGATTGGTCTTCTCCACATACATCTTGAGCAGTGGTGTAGACCATATGGCACTAAGTGTATTAGAGTGCTATGTTCCCGGGTGATATATGGACGAGAATCCATCCTCTAAACACCTATCTGGAGTACATCGCACCTATTAACTCGTATATGCACAATCTATGTCGTGTATAGGTTTCGTAGGACAATACCAGCAAGACACACTGCTCCCTTTTACCGTGCGCATGCACAGGGATCGAAACTGGCAGAGCTATCTCTGTCTGAGTTCTACTATGGAATGCGTTGATTTCCGTGCACATCGGACTTGTATGTTTTCCCAGCCTCCCCCTACGGTAGGCGGGACGACCGCGGTTCGATTTGAGTTGACGCGTCGAGTTTTCGCGGTGGTGCCACCCTGCATCCGGCTTGGTCCGGGCTCACTTCCCTGGGTTGCCACACCGTATGCGTATCTCTGACTGGTAGAGGCTTCATGGGCTCCATGGTGAGTCAGGGTGTACATAATGAGTGTGATATACACAAAAAGGAGTCCCTGATATATTTAAGCCATTTCTTACTATTTTCTGGAGAGGTAGACAGCGTGGGAAGCTCAGCTAGGCAAGGCCGAGGGTGGCTTGCCCGTGTAAGTACTTACTGTGGTGGCACTCTGAGTCACCCACCACTAGCTTTTCAGCATATTTGTTGGGATTATGGTAATTATCCTGGCCTCTTTTCAAAGAATTCAGCTGAACCTGCAGATTAAGTACAGTGTGAGAAGGCTGTAGAGTGTAACCTTCTTCTGAGTACCTGTAACACTCTATAAAGGTCATGTATTGATTTCTTACCTTTATTTCTTGATTTCTTGTCGAGGGCCACACGAACGGCGCTTGTAAGTGTTCACGTGGCGCCTCGGGCCACTCTACATCCTCAGGCCGCTGTCTCGGGTCAACTCTGGTATATAGTTGTAGATATTAAGTTTGAACCTTGTTCATACATGTATATATTCACGAGGCTTCCGCATGGGAGCCTCATTATCGACACAATCAGCAATTACTATCATCTTACTTTTTCCTTGCTTTTTCCTTGATTTTTCTGCTTCGTGAGTTCGCGCTCGAGACTGCTCGCGCGACCTCACTTGGCAACTCGCGTTCAACGCTCACGGTCGGGTCGGATATTGAAGATATCCGGACCCACAACTTCCCACGTGTTCGGACGCGCCAGCGTCTTACTGTAGTTTTTCGACCATAGGTTTGTCACGCATCACGCAGGGTACGCCGGCGAACATTTTTGACCCGATGGTCACGCATATACGTGGGCCGGTGAACAGTAAATCGTGACCGATTTGCACAGAAATCGCCCAAAAATCGATTTTTGGGTCGTACCGCGAACAATTTCCTTGGTTCGTCACGCGTGGCCTGAAACGGCCTTCGGGCTAAACCTAACTCTTTATTTCTCGGCGTTTCTAAGGAGTGTACGCGCCTTGCAGGCATTGTGGCCCCAGGTGCCACTTCGACGATGGAGATGTGGGATGGATAGAGGGATAGGCACGTGACCAGTCATGTGACAGGCACGTGATGGCATGTGACCTTGTGGTCGTGATGTAGGGACATGTGATCAGGTCTGGAACGTTCTAGAACAGTCTTGTGCATGTTGACTCAGCGGTTTGTACCCATTGTGCCCATTGCTGGACCCACTGGATATCCATGAAGGATTCCTGTAGTGTTCACTCGTAGTGTACAAGTGAGGGTGTGCCCTAAAGGGTTAGCTCAGGATGTATATAAGAACCACCTGTATCATAGAATAGTTCCCTAACTCGATCTCCTTTGCTTCTCGCCATACTCAGTGTGACCTTGTGTCCTGGTGTATCCAGCCCCAAGCCCACGGTCTCAGTTCACCCACATTCT